GAATTATCGATCGGAGCACGCGATCTGCGCCCAACGTTCGCGTCACGCGCCACAGTGCGTATTGACGCTCTTCACACTGTCGGCGGTCGGGGCCGGAGCGCGCGGCGCGTGCGCGAGAGCCGGGACCGCACCGATGCGAACTATGAAAGCAGCCTAACCGGGATAAGGAGACAGTGCACGTACAAGTCAGTTTTTATTGTTGGGAAGTTGGGCACCAATTGCCCGAACCTGGAGATGAAAGGCTCACTCATCCAGAACGAGCCCAGAATTTGATCGCTGGAGCGTTGTCAAAGCACTCCAGCAGTACAAGGTATTGAATTCTGCTATAAGCCTCTTGCACGGCATGCATGAAAACCAACTAGAAAAACCCAAAAACAGGCTCGAGATTCCTTTCCCCAACCCTTTCCTCGCCCTATACAATTCTTCCGTCGCTTACACTCACTGATATTTATTCCAGTCAGTACAGCTCTTCATCACGGAAGAAAGATCTGGTGATCATGAACAGCCCAAATCCAGATTCATTGACCTATTTTTCAACGTACCATTCGTCCATTTTTTGAAGAAGCGCATACACTGTTTGCATGAGAGTTGAGGAAATATGCTACAATACTGCGGACTGCCATTGCTGGCTCGGCTCAGTTTTCTTGATTTTGGATGATTTCTTCTGTAGCTCTATTCGTGCCCCAAGTTCTCCCTATTGGCGCACTCTTTGAGTGTATAAAAAAATAATAAATAAATAATAAGGGAGTAATATTAGATGTCAGATGATTGTTCGTTGCTTTAACAACTTTTATTTCATCTCAGACCCACGGGTTAATCTCCTGATCTCGATCTAGAAGGAACTGTCCACGGAAAAGCGCTTACGAAAAAAGCCAAAACCAGTGGGTAATTTGTTCTTTTTGCTATTTTCATGCGGCAAAAGGGCTAATGAATCAATTTCTAATTAACAAGGAGGAGGGTTTCTCCATGGACGATTCCTTTGAATGCATTTCTCCTGTCTTTCAACACACCACACCTACTCAGTCTCCGGTGACACTCTGGTGAGTAAGGGTAACATCTAGATTGGATAGACATCGACTACACCAATGCCGCGTGATGGCATACTCTTCAGTACTAAGCATTTGAGTACTATCCACCATAATTTATCGTCAATATAGCACTTGTATGTGAGATCTTCGTTTCTTTTTCCAACAGCGCTATTCAATATTCAGTTGTAGTATTATAGTATCATCCATATACATATTACATTATTTCTGACTGAATCTTCCTATCCTATCCTGCCGTTTAGCACGTTGACGACAGCCCGTTGTGCGCCATCTCGGCAACTTTTTGTGTACTATTTTCAATATAGACATTACTCCAACAACAATCACATCACTGTTAATTGGGGCACTGTTTTCCCGACAAGATGATGCATATAGACAGTTTTGAAACATGAAGATCAAATAAAAAAAAACGAAGCAAAACAAGCCTCATCCGGTTGAAAATCTGGCGCGCATGCGCGTCATGCTGGCGTCAACGAGTTAAAGTCAGGGCTTATGATGAAAAGACGGCCCTCCAGGGTAGAGGTGATCAGTGGTGCGGAGAAGAAAAACCATCAGAAACGGCTTAGAAAACGAGAAATGGGACACCTTCACCACTGGTCTCCACATTGATGTCACTCTCATCATTGCTGCCCTCTCAAACGATAACGCTGTCTCTGCTACGTGGCTCGAGTCGAACGGCGAGATGGTGAGTGGCCGCAGCGCGAGTATGGCTCCGCTGGGTCGCTCGGGGCAGACTACTCGCTTCGATTTCTCCGATGTAAGCGATCAAGCGTAGTTGAAATGCTACTAGAATATTTCAGCAATACTCAAGAGCGCTATATAATGAGACACAAATCCGATTCATTCAATGCTCTTAAAGGAATCTTGCGTAGGAAAATTCTTGCACTCTTTCCTAACATGAAGATGTCAATTGTAGATCACTGGAATAGCACACAAGTTTCACCAATGTAGATAAGGTTTCTGAAGAGAAACAAACGTACAAACCTACACGTTATGGACCATCGAAGGATCAGGAGGCAGAGCCAGGCGAGGCATGGAAAGAAGACGGCGTTTGGCCGGCTACGTACCAGGCGACGCAATGAGGAAATAGGGTTAAAGCGCTGCGATTTCGGAGAGGGGAGACAAATCGATCGATGGGATGGAAGTGGAGTAGAAGAGTAAGATGTGAATGCAACGAAGCAGAAGGCCAGAAAGAACTTCTAATGAATGGACTCCAAGAACCAAGTTTGAGCATCCCCGTCGCCAGCATTCGTGAAAGACGTCCGTGGGCATTCGAATGCGTAGCAGCCTTTCGAGTTTTCGAATTTCTAATCAAAACGAAAGCAATACTTTAGTTCTTTTCACTATTAATCGTGGATAATGAGTCTCAACCAGTGGTTTTGTGGCTGCAATAGAATCATGATTTTTCCGCGCAAGATTCCTTTAACACCTTGACGACAGCGCGGCAATACGTATGCCACCATTCTTGCACCTCATTGAACATTGTGGCAACTATGCATGTCGCACCCATTACATTTATTTTTTTTGCGCACATGCCCGATTTCTTCCCAAGTTTTTGTGTTCGTTTTGCAGGCCATACCTAGACACAACCAAGTATCACGTGGCTTACAGACCGGCCGAATATTCTTTAGCTTGGCAGAGGTTTTCTAGACTTACCAAATTGCTTCTTCAGTTCATTCCTCGTTTTCTTTTCATTAATGTGAACATGCAGATAAAAAAGAATAATGGAAGGATAGAAACCTATTTGTCTGGCAAGATATGTGTTTTTACTGACAATGAAACAATCTCAAAAATAAATTCGAAACCCAAAACGGTTTTTTGCATGATATAGGGGCACACGCACAAACCACAAAACTAAGGTTCATTTTTCCGGCAAATGACGCCTGAACACCAAAAAGGGGCAAAGAAAATTTACCACGGAATTGTTTTTTTTACTGCTTCGTTGTGGTACATATCGTCCACAACTTTGACTAACGTCATACTAAAGGGTTCCCGCTATCTGTACATTGAAAACAAGGCGAACTTTCCAGGGAATTTCGGTGACCCGGTATCGCAGACCCAGTGGAGTAGTGGGTAACGCGACGTACTCAAGTTGGCTCTGTGCAGGGCATGGTTGTTGGTTCGAGTCCTTACGGCGTGTGGTTTTTGCATTTTTAATCACTTCAGCGTGGGTGACAAATTGTACAATCTCAATGTTAGGCTCCATATTCATGATCAGAGTCATAAATTATCCCCATTAAGATGAGTTTTGTTCGACAACTGGGGAGACACTTTGCGCCCCCAAGATGGCGCCAGATTGCGCTGGTGCTTGGTAAAGAATCGTGATCAGGGCGCTGATCTAACCCCAACACCGAAGTTTCGGGGGAAATCGAGATTCTAACTCAACTTCGAAAAATTGAACAGGCTGTAGGGACAACCTGACGTGTGTGCCCGGACGGTTTGGAGGCGAGCTCGGCGCGTAAAATTAGGGATACCCACTAGTGGTAAACACTGAAATCGAGGTTGTGTCCCTATAGAACACGTCTCACACTTCGTTGCGTTCTTTGAAGTCGATATAGCTATAGACAAGAGGCCTAGTAAGTCAGTGGTAGAGGGAAATTCGACCAACCACTATTTAGCGGGAGAATCGAGCGACCTCGTCATCGTTCGTGGTCCCTCGGCCATCACCGTCTTGGGTGTCTGTCATTCTTCATTGTAGGTCAGGACTTTTCATTTCTAAAGTGCGATTCTAGATAATGTGGAGATCGTCTTCAAATCATCCATCAGGCCTGACGGCTATTGACTTGTTAGCTATGGTCCAACTGTTCGAAATTGGGTCAAAATCTTGTTTTCTCTGGAACCTCATTTATAAGGGTTATCCAGTGCCCTGGTTACGACTATGACATTCATTTCTGGCGCGGACGTCATATGGTGCCACTATGACGCCGTTCGGTGCCAAATTGGTGCCGTCCTGGTTTCCACCAACAATTTTTTTTTCCTTTTCAAAAGCTATTTGTTAGGGTTGCTGATGGTTCCAATCATGAACATGGCGTAATCTTGGCGCTGATGCCATTTTGCGCAAATTCTGAAACGCCAACTCAAAATGTAGTTGGTCACCGCAAGTTATCAAACCACGAACCACTTCATCACCCTTTTTTGGTATTCAGAGGGCCGTTTAGGAAAAACAAACGTGGTTCTGTGGTTATCGCATGCGCCCCGATCTCATGCAAGAAATCATTTTGAAAAAGCTTGGCACACCAGGAATGACCTCCCTTGTAAAACGGATGTAACTAAAATTGGCCTTTTCATGGTCATAACACGTCATTTCGATGGAACTTTTACAATCGTTCCTTCCGCTTAGTTTAACACATCGAATCTCATCGATTTATCACATTCTTGATTTGTGTAGTTCCAGCTCAAGATCCGCGAATTCGATGTGAGGCGGCGGCACTCGCAGAATTGCTGTCCCACGATGCCAAAAAAGCCAAAACGCGCGATATCGTCAACGTGTTAATTCACTCGTGGAGTCCGAAGAAAATACGAATAAATCACATGGAGAAACGAAGATGTCACTTGCAGATCCCATATGGATGGCGTGAGTGGATATCAATAGCAACTTGCGACTACAGCCATCTTTGGCTAACTAATAATGGAACTACAGTGGTTGCGATCAAAACTGCTTCATTCGGTACTTTTCAACGACATCCGTGTGTTCGTAGAGCACAAGTAATCACTTAGTTCTAATTAAAACGAAGTATTACAACTGAAAACCTGAGAAAATGTCAAATAACATTGTTCACCGAATGATTCACACAGCATAGCAAATGAGGAAGGAATCACGGCTCCCATAAAACAAAACAAACAAGTAGGGAAGGTGCCCTGTGCAAAGGCACACTCAAAAAATATCACGACAAAAATAGTAAAGTGGACAAAGTAAGAAATTCTAGACGCGTTCGAACTTGATAAAGACTGCCTTCAAGCTGCTGCCAGCTGGGCAAGGAACTCGGATTCTCTCGCTATTTTGTCTAATTGACTCTGCTGCAGTTCTTCTCCCTTGGCGAGACGAGCCTTGAAAACCAACTTTTTAAGAGTCCAACAGAAAGTAACAAGAAGTTAACTGCGGCACGCAACATGTGGGATAACATAATCCAGTTGAAGTAATTTTATGCTGAATTTGACGCCTGAGCCAAACCGCATCTATTCACAAAATCGTTTGTGAGATTTGCAGTCGCAAAGCGTCGTGAGATCCAAAGGTTTGGGAATAAAGGATAAAGGATAAAGCATCTGCCGTTGATCAATCCCTTTTGGGATGCGGCACGCATTCTACTTCCATTTTTACATTCGCAGTGGCTTTTGAATGCGATGTGGCCTATACAATGACTTGCGGGGGCCAGCCGATGTACAAGTCAGTGTTTTTTATCCTCCCAGACAAGTCTGGTACCAATTAACCGACCCCGGAGGGATGGAAGGCTTGGTTGGCTGGGCGACTCACGACCCAGGATTTGATCCCCAGACCGCTCGCGTGGTGAGCGCGCCACTTGTCACTACACCACTTCCGCCCTAAAGGTTTGGGAAAGACGTTGTAAAGCACGGTGAGAAACCTTTCACGGAAAAGGTTCGTAACCTCACGAGAGAAGTGCGTTTAAACCGACCAAACCTGTTTGCCATTCCTTGAGAGGATAAGTATAAGAATTCGGCCTTAATAATCCTATTTTGTCATGCGCTACGCATCCCATTTTACTTTCATTGAGAATCGTAGTGGCAACTTGAATACGATTTGACCTATACAATGACCTGCGGAGGTCAGATGAGGTACAAGCCAATGTTTTTCATCCTCACAAAAATCTGGTGCCCGACCCAGTAGAAATGGAAGGCTCAGTGGCTCGGACGACGCACGGTCCAGGATTTAGTCTCCGGACCGTGGTAAGCAGCGCCACTTGCCACTACAACACTTCTGCCCCTTTTCGGAGTTACTGCCGCTGAAAAGAGATTGCGGATGTGGTGTAGTGGTAAATGGCGCAAATGACGAACGGTATTCCTCAAAAGTCGGATTCCACGATGCAATTCATGATTGGACAACTTACAGGGGGTCTTTCAAGGCAGGCTACGCTTTTTCAAAACGATTTGCATATTGTAGGGAAGCATGAAGGGAACACAAAACCCGCTGAACGGTTTCAACAGTAACAAGAAGAAGTACAAGGTACTATTGATGGTTCGATTCCTCGTGGCGACTAAAATTTGCATTTGAGCTGTTGCCTACGGGTTGGTGCCAAAACGCGCTAAATGTCAAAATCAGATACCATTTTCGTCGTCAGCACCATTTTGTAGCTAACAAGTGGCCGCCAACCATGGTTGTAAAATTTATCGGCGCGGGGGATCGAACCATCAAGATTACCATTCCACTTTTTTGATACTACTAAAACCATTAAGCGAAAACGAAACATGTTTTTGTGGTCCATACATGTGTCCTTATAAAATGCAAGGAACCGTTTCCAAAGAGCGAGGCTTACCCTGGAAGAACCCCCTTCCCTTGTTAGGCGTTCAATTCGGCGTTGAGTGTGTGCTCATGGCAAGTGTACACGTTATTTGCCGTCAAATGGCTTCCTGTAGCCCTTACGTTGTCTAAATAAGATAATTTCTAGTCGAAAAATAAGTGCAGACCTTAAGTGTTCCAACGTCTCTTAGCTTCTTCTTGATGACAAATGCTTTCTTCTCGGTCTCAGTCATCTTCACATGGTTTGACTCTCCACCAGCGGTTTGGTTGTCTGCAAAATAAAAATAGTATCGTAATTCCAGAAAGTAACGTGTCTTTCATGGGTTTCAGGGCTTCTGCCAAAAGAATAAGCTAGCTCCAAGCCGGTACCACGGATACCGTACTCTGAAAGCAAGCGTGAACCAAAGAGTGACGTTGAAAATTACAAAAACAATATCCAAATTACCTTGTTAGTGGCACACAATCCCTAATGGGGGTTATGGGGTGTAGTTCACTACGACAGAAAGCGATTTTTTCGCGTGCCACAGCGCGAAATATTTTTCGCTGCGGGAACACCAGGTCCTCGCACGATCAGCGGTGGACCCGAGGTTCCTGCAACGAGAAAGGTTCGCAATGCAAAATGCGAAAAAGTCCCTTTCTGTCCTAGAACCAGCCCCGGTGCTATGTGGGGCGCCCATCGCGGTCATTTTGCAATTGGAGCGCATGGGCCGTACCTACCACTTCAGCGCCGACCACTTGTCAGGCGGACAACTCATCCGGACCGCCCAACTCCTAGTCTTTGTAATTATAATGCAAATTACACTACGGTGGTTCATGCACCGCTACGCCAATGTGACCGCGAAGGGCCGCACCAGTTGGGATAATCCCCCAGCCTCCTTCCTTCCTAAGATGTGTTCCGCTAGAAATAGTCACCTGAGACAGACTTGAATCTGAACTTCTCCAGAGGCAGATATGTCTTGGGGGGATAGATAATATTCCAAGAAATTTTCGAAACGCTCCAGACCTTCGAAAACGACTTTGTAGAAACGTCAGACTCAATACCCATCTCACCACGCACAGCCTGTTTGCACTAAAGTAGCTAGACAGCGTTAACCATTTGTGCCACTTTCTGTTAAAGTATTTCAAACGAATCATTCAAATATAACTTTGCCTATTTCGAAAAGCCCTATTGACCCAATGCTTGTTTAATTCACTTTTCTGTCTCAACCTACTTTCCAACAAGTCATTATTGCTTACCTTTACGCAGATGCGGTGGAACATATGCTGTATCAGATCTGACTGCCTTGATTGATTTCGTATCACCATTATTTGAGGAAACCTCAAAAAGCAGTTTTCTATTGTTAAAAAAATTAAAACTCTCTTACTCATTAATTGTATCCAAGTCCGGACTACATCTATGATATGATATAGCCATATTTCGAACATTCTATCGCTACCTGTTATTACCCCTTTTGTTATTATCACTGGGGTATACCAAAAGTTTGTGCCGCTTCTAAACACTTTTAAGTTATGATTATTTGATCCAAAAGCAATATCTAACATCAATATATGCACCACCATATCAGAGAGTTGTTGCCAAAGATTGAATGGAGAGTCGATGTCGTATTCCCAGAACGTCAGCTTTTGAGTTGAAAAATGCGGTCGGGTCGATTCTGAGTCGTTCTTTGAATCATTTTTTTTTGGACACAAGGCGACTGCTGACTGCCAGCAATGTGCGACTTGCGATTCCGCCATCGTCAATGTGTTAGAAAATGAAAAGAATGAGCGTCACAGGCAAAAGAGTATAATATCCTATATAGGCATGTGATAGATACAACCTTTGTCACTTGTTGTATATGGATGGCCCTGATAATACCACACTTTCGCCAGGATACATAGAGTCTGAAAAGCTGGGCATGGCAGTATGAGGCCCTCTTAATTAAACACATTGCGGACCGTCCTTGTACGGGTGTCTCCGCTACTTTTTTATGATTTTTAAAACTAAATCGTCATTTCTCTACTAACACTTCTATCAGCGATGATGCGTATGATTTTGCATCGCTGAAAATGAGTGCAAGCAGTTCGGGATTATTGAAAAATGCCGAACGGAACAGATAAAACTATACTTTTCAGTGTGAAATCGTGCGCCACAAGGTGGCGCACGTGGTACGCGATGTGTTAAAAGGCATGTCGCCTTATGCACTTGCATTAACACTGTCGCTATCCCTTAAAGGCAGTGATTACGATGGTTTCAAGAAGGGTTTGTAAGAGACTGGTGGTGCTCAATAGTACGCCAGTGGCGAAAAAGCGGAGAAACCCCAAAACGGGACCCCTCTTTTTGGCCGTCGGTTCTCACTCATGAACAGATAACAGCCCAGAAAGCGGACGTATGAACGAGTTCATCGCAACGCCTTTGGTAAAAAGAGCAGAAACTCCGTGTCCAAGATCCCGTTAATGTGAGTCGCCAACACTACGTCTCGGCCAATTCCGCCGCCGGCAGTACCGTCTGCCGGAGTCTCTCATAGTGGGCTTTCATTTGAAACAATCCCGGAACTCTTATCAGAGACCCTTCTCGCAAATTCGGAGAGTATGAGATCAGCGGCCGGAAACAAATCTCTGAGTATAGGTTCCATTATGGATAACCACTTCGTCTTGCTGTCGTTCCCTTATCAATCACCCCACAACTATTGCAGCGATTCAAGAAATTCTAGAAACCAACTGTCCCCCTTTGTCGAAATTTTTACAAATCGATCAGTTGTTGGCAGGGAGTAGTTGTGTAACATAATTATTTTAGCCAGCACAAATGTTGACACAGGTAACCTTGGACAAGAAAACATTTCGTTTGTACATGAAAGTAATCTAACCTGCTTCACTAAACCTGCGCCCTCGAGTTCAGCTTTTGTAAGCTCCTTCACTTCAAATTTGTTATAGCTAGACATCGGCCGGAACTTTACCTGAAAACTAAACGTCCATATACGGTGCTTTGACTTTTCGCCATCCCCACGAAACCTCGACACTGTCTGAGCAGAGCTGTTTTCAAGGATGCCTTTATACTTTTAAGACGCACTGTACTTTCGGATTAGTTACTGGCGTGCAGGGTGAATAGCTTGGCTAAATTCCTCAACAGCACGTCGAGGATTTCCTGCTGATCAGTTCCATTCTAGCGAGCGGATATTCACTCTCACCACCCGCGAGCCGTCTGTGCTCTCCGCGCCTACATTCACTGCCGACAGTTCTCGCGCACAGTGCAGAGCCATGGCCTAGGGATTCCTCGACCGTTATTCATCCTGCCGGCGTGAGTGAATACTCCCCAGTATGAGCACACGACGAATTTTTTGGAAACGACGAAAATCACAGAGCCCAGCGTGCTGAGATGCTTCATCAATTTCCCATTAAAGGAATCTTCCACGGAAAAACATCGCCTCCATTCCTACAAAAAAAAACGATACCCTGGGCTCCCTGCTTCATGAAAATAGCAAAAAGAACGGAACATAGGCGATGGTTTTGATAATAATTATGATAACCAGTTCGACTATGAAAATTTTGAATTCCCGCTGTGAAACTTCCACAACTGTTAGCGGCGTGGAGTCAACACTTGCAAACGTGTCAAAAGCGTGAACGTGAACTGGATTAATGCTGGACCCTTCCCATAAACTGTCACGTGGATCCGCACCAGCCACGCCCTTCGTCACAGAAACATTTCCGGTCCCGCCTACTGGTCCAATCCGGTCCAACAGATGGGTCTTTCCAAAGTTTCTCTTGGGGGTTTCATCATTTTCGCTCTGAACTTTGCATATGGTCTTCAATGACCATGCCCAACACCTGTACATGAGGAAAGGATAAACAGTTCTTCCGTGGAAGATTCCTTTAACAATATTTTTCCTGAGCTGTATGCTTTAATGGGATAATCTAGATGAGAAATGTCAGCGGTTCCCGATAAAACGAGAAAATCCTTGAGGCTCTTATTCAGATAGGAACAGTTATTATATACAGCACTTACCTCCCATAGCTCTTCATTTGAGGAATCATACTTGACTTCCTTCACTAACTTTCCGGAATAGTGCCATATCCTAAAGATTCAGCTATAAACTATTTCAAGGTAGACTAAACCTGCCACTACTCAGTGATTTTTCGAAACCTTTTTTGAAGGGCGTGGTGGAGGGCTCATTAAAGGAATCTTGCGCGGAAAAATCACGATTCTATTTCAGCTATAAATCACTAGCTTAAGACTCATTATCCACGATAATAGTGAAAAGAACTGGAGTATTGCTTTCGTTTTGATTAGAAATTTGAAAACTCGAAAAGGCTGCTACGCGTTCGAATTGCCCACGGACGTATTTCACGAATGCTGGCGACGGGGATGCTCAAACTTGGTTCTTGGAGTGCATTCACTAGAAGCTCTTTCTGGCGTTCTGCTTCGTTGCATTCACATCCTACACTTCTACTCCATCCTATTCCATCGATCGATTTGTCTCCACTCTCCGGGATCGCGCGCTTTAACCGATTCTATCATTGCGTAGCCTGGTACGTACCCGGTCAAACGCCGTCTTCTTTCCATGCCTCGCCTGGCTCTGCCTTCTGATCCTTCGATGGTCCATAACGCGTAGTTTTTGTACGTTTGTTTCTCTTCAGAAACCGAATCTTCATGCGTGAAACTCTGTGTGCTATTTCCAGTGATCACAACTGACATATTCATGTTAGGAAAGAGTGCAAGAATTTTCCGCGCATGATTCCTTTAAGGTCGTTGTTTCCCGAAAATGCGAGGGACGACTTTTATCTGGGTCTAGACGATGCCATAGGATCGGTTACGGGAAATTTACATCACCTTAGCAGGTGATTTGAACGGCCACGTCGTCAGCGACAGAAGAGTTGGAAAGTAACAGGACTGAGTCTGCATACTAAATGATACTGCAACACACTGCATTGTTGCGTTCAGTAGAACTGTAGCAATAATGTCAACCTCCTTTAACCCTTTGGCGACAATGACACCCACAGGGGGTGCCACTCAGTACGACGCGTGGGACAATGGCACCCAATGGTGGATGCCATATACGCATTTTCTTCACTGAGCATTTGGGACATTTTTAACATCCCAGTAGTTATGAGCAAGCTTCATAAGTGAAACACAATCAGTGAAGCAGGATTATTCCTTATGAATGGTAACTTAAAGAAATCTTCCGCGGAGAAAGCTTCGCCTCCATTACCACAGAAAAACGATACCCCTTAAGGCTAGCCTCATGAGCATAGCAAAAAGAACGGAACGTAAGCGTTAGTTTCGATAATACTAATCTTACACACAAGAAAAAATAATCAATCTTTCCGTGGAAGATTCCTTTAACAAGTCGTTTTCTGAGGTAATGGGGATGGAGGAGCTTTTTCCGTGGAAGATTCCTTTAATGTACGAAAAAAAAACTGAGAGCAAAGACTTCCAACTAAAAAAGTGACGTGAGCAGAATTAGGGGCGCTTCGGTAATGATTCTATTTCGCAGGAAATTCATCTACATTTAGTTTAAATAAATTCTCTCAGGTATCCGTCCACCATGATATTAATAGTAGAGCATCACCAATTTGACCGCACGTAAGGACTACAATGTTCACAGTACCTGAACCCATTGTCTATTCGGAGACGAGGCGTAGTGGTGGCAGTAACAAAGTGTTGCCCATCAGGAGCCCACTCAAATAGAGTAGTATTTGGAACTTCGATCTAAAAAAGATAATTTAAGTTGAGCAAAGAGCGCGCAACACAGATACGTAGCGTTTCTCCTCCTGGGGTCAGGTCACCTAAAATTGAGACACGGAACAAGCTTAGGACTAAGCTTAGGCCCAATCACAGGCTCAGGCATAAGCCAATGTGTAAGCATAAGCCTTAACCTAAGTCCAAACCCAAACTTACCCTCAAGCTTCAAAGATGTCGCAACTGTGGTGACCTGACCCCAAGAAGAGAAACGCACGTCTCCTGCGCAACACAGCTATCTATCACGCCGAAATCGACCAAAAAACTCACTGAAACAATCAGCTTCTTTTTCTCTGCATCCCAAAACTCCATTTTCCCTTTTCCCAAATTGCCGAAACCGCAAGTCAGCAATATGTTACCAAAAGCATTGTAAAAACAGTCATTGCGTGGGCCTTCATCTGTGTGAAAGATTTCGTCTCCTCGAAGATTATATATGCTCGCCTAAAAACGTACCGAACAAAAAAGAAAACACAATAAGATAGGAAAGACATGAATCCGTACCTTAGCTGGCATAAAACCGTAGCAAACACAAAATTCTCTTCCATTTGGACTCCATTTTGCAGCATGCACTGGACCAGTCTTTGGCAAGTGAACTTTGAATGACTCGCCAGAACTTAGGTTCAGGAGGTAAACCTGAATTATGCGGAAATGGAAGCCACCAATTTACCGAAGGTTTCTTTTTTTCTGCACAACATGCAGTGATGCAAAAAATTCTACAAACTCAGAGAACTCTTCCTCTTTCAACAATTCATTTTAGCGCCCATAATCCTTCAGCGGCACCCTCTCCTCCTACTCCACTGATTACTGTCTTCATGACTGGTAGAAGGAATTCAGAACACCTCATGTTCGACTTATCGAGATGAGCTCGACAACGTATAATAAGAAAAAACGCAATATGCAAACGGCTCCCCCACTTTCTTCACGATTTGGGGCGCGGCCGCGGCAAACCCGGCCGAGTATGCGCCATCAGCTTACCTGAGTATTCGACCTTACATTGCGACATGTAACGTAATCAGGTTTAGTATGATAACATTTGACATTTATGTTGCAACTACGTCACGGATTTGAAAACCCTCGATTTTTAAATTTACACAATTAAACTTGGTAAATGAAATAGGTGAAAAGTTCTTGAAGAAAGAAGGACGTCGAGATCCCCGCTCCTTTTTCAGTTTTTCATCTTTATCACAACTGTATCGTCTTAAAAGAAATAAATTTACAGAGTGTGACAAAGTTCTTTTCATCTTCTCTCTAGCGTTAGCAATGCAGCACAGACTTTTGCAAATCATGTTTCGTACCCATAGAGACTTTTATTCTAGTTTTCGACATATCCGAATGACACTTTCCACAATTTCTTTAGCCTTAGCTTCTTTCCACCGCGTCTTTCGAGCGCGCAGGACTTACGTATGCGTATACACGTCATCGGACACGCGGGGCTACCCTGTCAGCAGTCCTGCTTTTCACTTCCCGATTCAAAGTAGCCTGAGGTCGTTCCTCCTCTGTTGCATACTGACCGCAGAAATCGGGCAAGGGTTCTGCGCGCCACTTCGGGGTGAGTCTTAGCATTACCACTGATTCTGTGCGACTTTTGAATATATTTGTTGTGACGGGGGCTTTCATCAGCCGGCGTGTCAACCTAACTGACGCTGTTACCAGAACCATTTCTGCAATTCTGCGAGGCATGGTTGGGCCCTAGGCAGGGATCGAATCTGTGGCTCTCAGAGGAGTATAATGAGCGTAATTTCTCAAACAAAATTATGGAAACCAAACAGATGATACAAATCTACGTGATATGAGCTCCAACAACAGACAACTGTTACTGATTTATTCTTAGCCACTAAGCAGCAATCCACGCTGCGTATTACAGGGTGTGCACAAGATACCTCGTTAAGCTGGTATTTGCTGCCATATACTCATTTTGAAATTCTAGCGACATTGTCGCGCACTTTCGAGCCGCGACCACGGCACTTTGTGATATTCGCAGGCTACCCTATACCAACCACAGAAGTGGTTTTTCAACACACCTTATCTGTGGTTGTTGCTTCGATCGATTATTGCACATGGACAGTTAGAACAGCAAATAACTTGAGTGCGACTGAAAAATGAGCAGGGCTATTTTAATAAGCCGACATTTAAACAAAGGTGCGAACCAATGAGGAAAACGCGCGTGTACATTTGCATACGCTCGAATGAACTTTAAATGAGTAGACAAAAATAGAAATGGTCGCCACAATACAGCGAAATGTGTGTTCAACAGCTCACTTGAATTATGCTTTGGCAATGGAAACTGACTGACATGTTGCTCTCCATAGTATGACTGGTTTGAAGCGTCCACATCGGTGCTAGACAACACGAGCACAGCCGTTCCTGAACGAAAGTGTTAACACATGGACGGTAGTAAAACGCGGTTGCGATGTACCTGGCATTCAAGTTAAAAATACTTTTGACATAAAAAAAGTAAAATTTGCTTCTTCATAACCAGCACAAGTTCTTTTGCTCGGACTCCCAGTAACTTCTCTGCATTGATTATTGCTTGCTTGCTAAAATGGCTTCGTACCAATTATAGTTTGCATAGCTATAACTCAAAAATTCGCAGACATGAGGTGAGGCGGCCGCTTTTGCAAAATCATGCCTGTCCCACGCGGCCAAAAAAAGTCGAAACGCGCGCTGTCGTCAAGGAGTTAAGACACATGATCCACCTGGGAGAAAGGACGCTCTATCCTACAAAACTGAGACCAGTAGGAACTAAAATCTATCGGATCTCGCCTTTTAGAAACCGGCCAACACACCAACAAAGAAGTTTTGTCTTAGGCCCTTGTTCGAGTCCTCTCTATACACAAAGCAGAAGTTTGGTGTGTTGTGTGTCTGTCTGTCTGTCCATCTGTTTGTAACCACTAATCTTGGACGCTATGTATATCCAAGAAAACAGTTGAGGCATGAACCCGGATTGGTGAGGTATTGTCCCAGATGGGTAGGAAGTTGCCCTTAGGGCGAGTATGAATGGATAAAAGTGGATACGGTAGTGGACGGGGCCTGACCACATGGCGGGATCGGATCCCAAATTTCTCTTGAAAACAAGGTTTTTGCTTAGAATGAACGAACGAAATATGTATCACAGTACTGATTGGGTACTACAGTGGAAGTAAATATTCTATAGGGTCGTATGCTATCGATCGATATCGATTGGATATAGTGGTTATTGCAGAGGACTCGAACCGAGTTGACAATCGCAGCATTGATTAGGTACTGCAGTGGAAGTGAGCATTATTATATGCTTGGCTGCAGGTCTTAAGTAGAACTGTAATCACTACTTTGAATAAAAGTGCCTTCGTACAGCGTAGGTGCTCAATGAGAATGCCAACAACGTGAAAAGCTGTGAAAAATAGTAAGACAGGAATTCAATTTCACTCTAAGAATAGATTCAAAAAAATTTGGTCACAACCTGCTGCAATCAAAATCAGAAAACTAAGTCATAGACCAAAATTTCTATTGACAAATCCACTGTAAGACCAAAACATAGGTACCTTTGGCGTTCCACTGCATAGTGGCCCTCTCAGTTTTGAAGAAGTTTTTCGCAGTAACTACCGTGAAAGGGAGATCCAAGCTACGGATTTGAACACGACCTGGCGTAGACTAAAAGATAAGTAATTACTAAAAGTAACACATCAAAAGCATCCAAGTTACGTACACCGGAAGAAGGGCTGTAACATGCAACATGTAGCGGTGCTTGTCCTGGACTGACGGCAAAAACTTTGACATTTTGCACAGCAAGTTTCCGGTCATATTTCCCTGAAATTAGAAAAAAATGGAGGAGTATAGGTATTAAAACGATGAATTTTGGACGGACAAATCGAGCCAACTTACAATGGAAAACTGAGGCATATTTCTCCAATTGGGCTGTCAACATCATTCAAGCAATTGTTTAGGGCCATGAAACAGATGGTAGTCGGATGGGCTAGATTAGCGAATAAGGTGGATGGGGTAGCACCCCCCATCCAAGTTCAGCAATTTCCGAAGAGACAACGTCGCGAGGTAAGAACGAGCGTTGTCGTGGAGGTAAATTTTGTCACGTTTCTGGCGTTTCCGTCGAATAGCATCGGCCAACTTCTGAAGCTGCGAATCGTATACTTCAGCAGTTACAGTGAGTCCGATAGGAAGTAGCTCAGAATAAAGTCTTCCTTAAGAATCCCAACAATAGCAGAGCAAAACCTTTCGCTCGTATAGTTCACTTCTTGCTGTTTTGAAGAGGTCACAGTCGACGTCGCATATGGTGAACATAAAGAACCCAGTGCTCGTCTTCAGTTACGATATCCTTGAGAAGAACCCTTCGCAAGGATTTCCTAAGGATATCGTAACCAGAGACGCAATGAATTCTGAGGGGCGCAGAAGCAATGAAGTGCATACGCCGATCCTTGACGCTTTGTCGAACTCGCTAATTCGTGCGATACCCATCTTGAGAAAACATCACGTTAACTTATGGCTTGGAGATGGTTCTTGTTAGTTATGGCCGCAGCCAAGCGTCGTCACCAAAACACGAGTAGTAGCATTGGGTTCCTCCAAGTCATTCCGCGAGTTCCGTAGTCGTAGGAGGTAGGCCATCCAGAACTGGGTTGATCTTCGAAAGAAATTTTGCCAGAATGGAATCGAATGAACCAACGACGTACCGTGTATCCAGGCACGATGCTCTGTTGAACGCAGTACGGATATTGGCGGCAGCCGTTGGTAGATTATGGTCTTTTAGTAATCGTAGTAGACGATAGCTCGGATACCTTCAGTTCATTGGAGTCATAATTGCGAAATACGAGCAAGCACTAGCTGACATACCCATTGTAGCGAAGCCTCAGGAACCTTTTATCGTACAATATTGAAAGATGCTTTCGACGGCTACTTCAAGGAATTCTAGAGAAGAGAGAAAATTTCACTCAAACCTTTTTGTCCAACCTAATGGAATGATTCCTTGGTATCCTAATTTCCCTCAATCAACATTAGCACTGGAGCAATCTGTTACATCATTCATTGAGAACATCCTCATAGACCCTTCATTATGCTAGCCATATATTACGGCTTGGAGGTCCAGACGCCATGTAGGCGATCGGTGCTATGTATTCCATCCGACAAGAAAAAAGGATACCGCTTCCTAAGAAAAGATTCAAAACGCCTCCAAGCGCGGAATTGTGCTATGCATAGCAAGTTAGCATGTGGTGGTAACAGATGAAGTCATGTTCTAAAGGCAGTGATGGCAGTGGAAAAGGGCTTCTACTTGTTTGTCTAAGGAAAATTTCGCCGCAAAACTTCCAGCAACAGCGACACAATGCACGTCGAAAAGTGTGATGATGTGCAACATGAACCACGACCTCTTTTCCGCCCCCCCCCCCTACCCTGTGAATACATATACATAATATTCTTGTAGCTGACGTTTTGAATGACGGTGATAATGAATGTCACTGACCGAAAATTTGTGCGGCATTATCGTTTCAAGAACCAATTATACTTAGAAGCAATGTATGTGCGTGTAACGGCACGCATGTATGCGCCACCAAGATTGGCAGATCCCTTTCAAAACAAATGATAGAAGAGGAAAAGGAACAGTACCAAAATGACATCCTTTGTGTATGAGTAATTCACTTCCAACTAGTCGCACTGCAATGCTTTCATCATCAGCAAACTGCGGCATCCACGTATCCTAAAATTGCTGCAATAAGTGGACAGTAACCGTGTAAACTGGCTTGCAATGAACCTTTGGCCTCTCTGCAACATTAAAAAAGGCTCTAGATAAACTGAAAATAATACGCCGCCCGCAGAGCACGCGAAGGAGCCGAAGAAGTGGCAAGCGTCAAGGTCTTTCAGAAGATCAGACTGAAGAACAGTTGCAGATTCTTTGGCCAGGCCTGACGGCACCGTAACGTAGATGTATAGCCAAGAGGAAATGGCCAAGCTGATTCACAACTTTTTACGCGAGGCAAATTCTTCAGTCAGGTAGTTCCTGACGCTCCATTCAGACTAAACAAAACGCGCGCTATACCCATGTGTACCTAGGAAATCAACATGATGAATGACCTAGCTCCAAAGCTGAGCAGGAGGAAAAGAGTGGCATGAGAAGCGTATAAGAGCGGAGAGGGAGTATTGAAGAGGACGACGAACATACGGCTCCGCGCCACCTACTTCGACTCTGCAGTCCTTCCTGCCTCAACCTACACCTCGAGACTTGGACTCTGCAGGTATGACTACCATGCGGTCAGCGTTATCCAACGCGCTGTCAAGAGGATGATGCTTGGAAGCTTCACTTGAACAGCAAACAATTTCCTCAAGAATGGAGTGTTGTCAATGACATCTGCCGGAAGGATTACGGTCGTAGGAAATATGGTTGTTGAACGTAGTCGAATGGTGTAGTGACTAGAGTAACGGGGTCACATTCGCATTGCAAGGTGGAAATTGGTAGTTCGACTCCCAACAGAGTTGGCGTTTTGCATTGCAGACAAACATCCACAGCTTGCCACCGGTTAGCACCAGCGCCAACAAAGAATATCATATTCGAGATAGAAGCAAAGCATTATCATCTTGAAAGATGGTTCAAGCAAAATTGAGATTTTAACACATTTTCAAAAAAAAGGGAACTGGTGCATCAACAGCCTGTTATGGTTCTACGGCTTGGGAACGAACTCCTTGCCATCCTTTTCGAATAATGAGATATTCAACCACAGAATGAACAATGGTATCCACTCAACCTACTGTTGATGGTCTAAAGGACAGATGCCATGTTCTCCTAGTTATCAATGAGTACGTAGTTTGGCCCTCATCCCTTCCACTAATTTAGGTTTTTGTTAACAAATAGCTTCTTTTAAGGATCAGGCCGTGGCGCCAGCGTGCCCCAAGGAAAGGAACATGCCGAAGTAAACCACCAGACAAACGTATCGTTTTCTTTCCTCGCGAACCTCATTTCTAGGTGGGCTGCCAGCGCTTCACCGACTTCACTGACTATACTGACAGCCTCAAAAGCCTCAGCCAGAAGTCTCTTGTGGCTCAATTTTTTGAAGCTGGTTTAAAATCATGATTTAATTTGACACTTTCGCTTTCAGGCTAATTCAGCACCCTGATCACGAATCAGATTCCTTCCGATAGCGGCGCAATATAGCGCCATTTCAGCTTTATTCGGCGCCGTTTGAGCTCCATGCATTTTTTACACCAGTTTTCGGGGCTCCGTGACTTCTTCAATATTCAAATGCGTGGTCATAGCGAGCACGGACGAGCCGGTTACGCTCCAGCACAAATCGCGCGCTCCTTCGACACAGCCTCGCCGCAGCCGCCCGCAATAGCCGGAGCACATCCGCCTCGTATACGCTCGCCGCGTTCACACTGACAATGAGTATAAAAAAGTCTCGAAGTCAGTTGTCGCTAAGAACCTACTCGGAGAGGTTAATGACGATCCTGGTACGGTACAATACCTATTTTCGGTGCAGGCAATATTTGACGCCATCTTGCAGACGCTAACCTAAAATGCGAAATCTTGTCAGCACCGGAACCGATCTAATTCATATCCCATCCCATTCTTTTTTTTGGTATTCACAATGCAGCTCAGAAAAAATTAACGTTGCGGCGCACTTTCGCCATTTGAGACAACGCGGCTCAAAGTGTGGACGCAGCATAGAGGTAGTCTTCAGCGCAGGACTTTCAAATTCATTACTGTTCATGCTATGATGGCACTGCATAGCTCTACCATTTTCCTAAGACCGACGTCATAGTCGGCGACGGACCAACTCCATCGCTTGGTCCGTCGCCCCAAATGCCGCGATTATATGACGACTAGGTCCCGTCGCTTATTCGTTAAATTTGAAGTTACGTAGTAGAAGGCCACCAAAATACTGATTTGAAAAGTCTATCTTGCTCAAAAGGATTATGCATGAGCTCAAATCTGGAACAGCAATGAACCTAGACATATGTGATCTCTTTAAATATAAACAAGAAAGCAGCTGCGGGACAGCGCCCGGGTGAAAACACTTCGAAAACCGAACATTTACTACGGTGTGGGTCGCTAGGACTGGACGCGACTTTTTCGCTCTTCGCAGCGCGGAGCTTGTTCCGCTGCAGGAGCCCGAAGTCCATCACGAGCGAATCTGAGTAAGAATCTTCGAGTTGCAAAAGGCGATAGAGACACAGAATATTCTAGTGATTCACCCTCATTTCACTACACACTAAGACTAGTGACAAAAAACGCTCAGCCCTCTTGTTGTACATCCCGACTTATCCAGTCGTTTGTATACTTTAAAGACTCTGGTGCTCAGACGGCCCGAACCGATGCTCATGAAAAAATAAGGCTCAGCTACCTTACAAAAAATTGGAATATGAGCCATGGAAAGCAGCAAGCTGATGAGTGGGCTAGAAGTTCAGGTAGAGCGAGTACATGTTACGGCAAAGGTCATGTTTCAAAACACTACAATACTTTCAGAGTGTTCATAGCAGGAACTAAGAACCTATACAGAAATCATGAAAAAAAAACCCAGCAATTCCACAACCTTGCAGTACTATGTATATGGGATTTTGAGCAGAGTGAGTGCCCATTGAGAAGTTCTCGTGAGCTACATCTCAAAAACAACGCGCGAAATTTGGTCAAAAATTTAGTGCCGTCTGTGATGTCTTAACTGATTTGAAGGTATATTGTGAAGCCTTGAAGCTTGTCTGGTTGCACCGATCGAATGTACTCTCCGAGCACTACAGAGAACTTCGTGATCATGGTATGGAGCTTCTGCATTTGTTGGCGTCAAATGCCATAAGCGTTGAAACAAAAACCATACCCAGAATCAGGACCCCATACAAGTAGGTTTTCACTACAAGAATATAACTTCAGCACTAGGTTAGGGATATCGTAATCCAGTTGGCGCGTCAAGCAAAACGCACTGGCGGCGCGCTCACACAGCTAACATTATACTTGACGACAAATGCTTAGTGATCGATAAACAAAATAACCCTCACAAGATAGATTCCTAAACATGAAGCCTTTTCAATCGAACATCGGTATAATACAGTAATGCATTCTGGTCACGTTAACTTTCTTCGAGAAGTTAAGTTGCAGTAGAAACTATTACGTAAACACTCCATCGATGAGATATAATATTCGACAAAATAGCATGATATAAATCAACGATGCAAAAGAAACATGTACCTCCTTTGAAGCAACTAATTCTGCCACTTGCTTGCCATCCGCTACGCTGAAAACTCGCAGGTTAGGTTCGGGCTTCTGAGCTGGTGACGTCTGAATTGAGCATGAAAGTTCAGCACCCATCTCACGTTGGTTATCATGAGCCTCACCACAAACCTTTGGTCCATATACGACATACGGCTCATATGTGACTATGTGCGAATCCCGAGGAGTGAAAAGAATACGTCTTGTCCTTTTGAGATCAACATTCACTAATTCTTTTCCACCAGCCACTTCGAAAGCACGTGTTCTTAAGAAAAGAAAAACTCGAGGCTTCAATTTAGGCAAGAAAAAATGAGCACACCGGGAGCTATGTTTTACACCGATGTGCCATTTCAATAAAAAAGGCGGTAATAATGGCAGGATACCATAGGTTACGTATAATATATTGGGCAATATAGTGCAACACAACACAACCTGTCAAACGCGGGACGTCAAGTCTGGACTGGACAGTGCGGTTGTTTTGTTTTTTTGCCACTTTTTGAAGCGAAAGCGAAATGGTTTTCTCTCAGGGCAGCAACAGCCGCATCACATGCCTCTTCGCTGGATAAGATCACCACAACGTCTCACTGATTCATATATTATCTTACATATATTCTTTTCATATTCTTTCTCCCCTTAATTAAAAGTTGCCTATTCATCCTCATTAATTGTGTTAAAGTCACGCAACATTTGATTACGATGCAAATCATACTTGGAAACGAAAGCGATATGCGCTACGCGTCCACCGGTCTTATCGTCCACACCGAATGCGCAGAGCATTAAATTTGCTATCATAATCCTCTTCTCCACTTTGCTATCTTTATCGCCATAGAAAAAGTGAAAAGTAAACGTGCTATCAATTCAATATTTCGTGCATAGCATGTGAAACCGGTTTATTATCAGTATTATTATTAGGTTACAGTTTTTTGGAACAATCGTCCGATCGCACCACCGAGTGTGAGCTGGATACGTATAGATCGTCCCACTCATCCTTTCGTGCGATTTCTACTAGCATTCGCGTGATTCGCTAGCGTTTGCGGTCGCGTTGCGGTGCCAGCCAATTAAGTGAATCACCGACTGCGACGCGACCGCAGACGCTGGCGAATCGCGCGATTCGCAAAGTCTGACATCGGCCTTAATAAGACGATGGTCCGATTAAAGGCAAGCTTCGGGATGAAATAGGTGTGGAAGAACGTTCAATAAACGGTTGAGGTGGGAATGCTCTGGAAAAGAATTCCCAGATCGCCGAATAAGGATCTCCTCTATTTTAGCCGCAATTCACCACTGGGATAGAGAAGGGGCGCGTTGGACGAGTTTCACAAACCTAGTTTCAGTTGCTCCAGTGCCAATGATATTGAGCCGCAATGCCCGCTGCGCCCACTTTTCAAGCAGCGTCACGTGGCAACCGATAGCGGAAGGCGGGTTGCGGACGAGGGAGTGGATTGCGACCGAGCGAAGTTCTAACGCCTTCGCTTCCAAGCCGCAGAAGGGAGGCGACATCAACGCATGTTCCCTGTCTACTACTCTCGAATATGGAACAGGTGAGCGTACCTAATCACGGAGCGTGCTTTCAAAACACAACGGTTGCCTCAAAAGTCGAGCTGTGGGCACTTGTGCCAACTTGTGCCATCGTAAAGATTATTTGAGGGCTAATGTTATTAGGTGCCTTCCCCATGTTCCTGAACTGGCAGCCCTGACAGAAAGAGAAGTTGCCACTAAATCTGCAATTAAGACCCTCACTTTGCAAGGAACAAAGAGTATCTTCTAGTTTGCACAACCTGCCAAATGCAAGGAAAACACTATCCAGGGCGGTCATCCGGTAAGGGGGAGGGGGCACTGTGATGCAACGTCTAATAGCTGCCCTCATCCCCCCCCCCTGAAATGGCTTCACTCCCCCTGGCTCACGGGGTCCCGTACTTAGAGAAATCTGTGCGCCAGGGGGAGTGCAGGCAGTCTAAGGGGGTGGGGGTGAGGGCACCCACTTGATGCCCCCCTTACTGGATGAGCGCCCTATTCAGTTACCACGACCCATGATATCGAAGAGAATCTTGAAAAGACTTCGTCTCTATGAGGTATTGATGTAAAACATTCATTCTTAACGTTATACCGCCAAATCGGGTATTAAATGAATATCATGTGCGCGATAGGACACTGAATTCCCCTGTTAGTATGGTTTGGTCAGATATATGCCGCACCAGTTGCCGTAAAACGGTGTCAGCAGCACAAAATTCATACCCATTATCAGGGTACTGAACTGCAATGATTGGTTGGTTTTCTCTTGAAATCTCTGTTTTTGAAAATTAGTGGTTGTAACATTTGAAAGCTGCGGAGGATTTCTAATTTTACCACAATACATCGCTTCAACGGTTCTTCTCTCAATCAGCTTCAACATAAATGAAATGAAGAGGCAATATGCGGACAATCACAAGTTTTCAAAGGAATCTAACCAATCAGTTCGGTCATTTGAAATGAGGTGTGAACCTTTGCATTCGCCTTGAGGCGCTAAACTCAGGAGTGCTTTCCATTTACTAAATATGTCTCTGAACGGAGTTTTAAAGGTGAAACGGGCAAAGATACGGCCTACTCGAAGTTTTTGAGCAACTGAGATCATTTTGGACATGGATAGCATGCAAAACAGTGTCAGGATAGAAGTCCAAATAACTTCGTTCTAAGCATCATTCAGCAGAAAGAAAGGCGCTCATGTTGTTGGGCGACAAGAGGGGGGGGGGGGACTTGTACTCAGGTAGGGAGAGGAAATCTTGGTAGGGCGGACTGTGTTCTCCCTAGCGTTACTCTAGTGTCACCTACCATTGCCACTGTTTTGAATACACTCTCCCCTCAAGAACATGAGGACCCAGTTCAGCTCAGTGCAACCGATCTGTTGAGCTTTCTAGGTGAGAAAACTTTACAAAATTTCTTCGTCCAAATAAGATTTCATAGCGTGTTGAGCGTCATTCAGATAGATAAAGTTCCAAAAGAAAAACCATGCGCAAACTTTTCGATGAAAGCCTTGCAGCGAAGGTAACGAAAGGGCACGCACTGAGGCAACGCGTCCGACACTGCTTTAGATACTAGATTATAAATAAAAAAAATGACAACTATCTCTATCTAGCATACCTCCTCGAATCACAGTAAGCGAAAATATGACCACCATTGCTGAACTGAAAAACTGAACAAGGATTCTCTTTCGGCGATCTGAAAATTCCAGCTTCGATAGCGACATTGTTACGCAGAAAGTATAACCCACCCGTTATCTTCGAACAACACACTAGAGTCGGTTGCGAAACCTCTTCTCATGGAAACGCCATTGCTTCCACGAACTAAAACATTGAAACAGAAAATTGAGTCAAAGGACCATTCATTCATCGAATCAAGGATTTATTTCACAAGAAAATATTTACCTGCATAGACTAAATTGTCACCCATGGTTTAAAGTAAGCAATACAAATCATTATCTAAGAGAATCAAGCGAAACAGCAAATTGCAGAATCCTTTCCAGCGGTTGCGCGGGCGCACACCGAAACTGTCATTAGAGCGCGATCAAGTTCATTAACGGCCTGCAATGTAATGCGTTAATTTCTTTCCTGGTACAGACCATCGATTTCATATATTGGGTTGCCCAGGAGCTTCCCAATGATTGTTTTTCGCGAATGGAATCACCTAGCCTTCTCTAAATCAATAGCAAGAGTGAGATTAGAGCCATAATCTCTGTAGACGCCGACCCCACTTTTTCAGCGACTACATTATTCCCCGCTGATGAAACTTTACGAGGCCTCTTAAGCAACTTTGAAACGACCATAAGAACATAAAAACATAAACAAAAAAAAGAACATAAAAATGGAGGCACTGTCTCATATTTTTGGGTAAATTATTCTACAAATCTGACCTCTCACGAATTGCCCACTCGTGAATTGTTCCACCGCATACCATGTTCGATATGACCGGTTACGGGGGAAATTCTTTTAAATTGACTTGCCTTGTATTAAATAATTTCTTCGTTCTCTGTCATATTTTCTTTTATATTTTTACGTCTCTACACACATTATTAGATACATATATTTACTCACTTTCTCGAGCGCAATCCCTCATTTTTTACGAAAACTCACAAAAAAATGCCAATTCCTGTCACTCGTGTAGTTGTGCCATGCTCTGACGGAGAAATATTTTGCTTTTCGTTAAAGGAGATCCCACGGTAACGTCAAAGCAGGGTCAACCGTCACGTTGGACCAATTTCGAAAATTTTACGACCCCCTCCCCCCTTCTAGAGGACCTCGATAAGAGCCCCCCCTCAAGGTTGACCCTTCACGGCCATCCTCCACCACCCTCGCCTGCAATCGCCATCATGGGGGCGATTCTATAGTATTTAGAGTATTCAGAGGGGAAGGGGACAGGGGGGGGGGGTGTATATCGAATGTGAAGCAGCAAACTTTTCCCATCAGTAGGTGTAGCAGTAGAATTTCAACTCAATTCGCTTAAAATTTGTAACACTGTTAGAGTGGTATGTTGAGGAGGAGTCTCATAACTATTTTGCGTGGAAACCCTGTACTCTCCCTCTCTAGAGGAACTATTGCATGGGTGAGTGGTCATAAAGAGGACTCAAGAACTAGCTCAACGCACTCACAAGGCATTTTCGTGTCGAACTAGTGCGATGTAAGTCTTCAGGAGCTCTAACCACATGTAGGAACCCATTGCTATTGCAACTAGGATTTTCACTTTTACTTCAAAAAAAGCCGGGACGCGATAGCCTTGGGCAACAGTCAACTTCAGGAAGAGGTCGCGGTACGCGGCGCCAATCTGAAGGTCATTTTCATGATGGGGGCCTTCTATTGTCCCTATGCATGGAATTTCAACGACCAGAATTTTCTTGCCTACAAATTTTTACTCGTGGGTGAGATAGAAGGCACAGCCTACTAACAACCATGGGTATGCTACCATAGTTGCACCTCTTTTTTCGAGTGAGGTGTGTTTTTCGATTTAGATAAAAATTTGTCACAAAGAGTAGTTTAACTTCCTGAGGGTCATACTCTCTTGGCGAGAAAACGCCTCGTTGATGCGTTCCATACGCTAGAGTGCCACAGTGCAGAAGCCAGAATATTCAAAGGGAAATTCACCGAAAAAGGCAATCTACCCCTATCATCGGCGAACAAAAGAAGAAAACTGAGTGGGCGGATCCGATCCCCTGACATCGTTCCTGCAAATTCGTCTCCTAAACCGTTAGGCCATCACACCATTAACGAGGAAAAAACCCTCAAAAAATTTTATTCACATCGTTCAGCAGATTTGGAAGGCAGATTTGAAGTCACCGTGTGAAGACGCATCAGGTGGTACACATCCCATTTTGAATGGCCACTTCAACCTACCATCCTTCCCTTACGCCAGAAGAGGCAACACCCCCAAATCCTAGATGGTCTGAACAGGTTCTGAAGCTCTGGTCGCACTTCGATAGAATATCTCAGAAACACCATCGTCAGGAATTACCATGCGAATAGGCGCCAGATAGTGACTACAAAAGAGCTGAAACATGCAACTCTTGAAGCACAGAAGAATGGATGGTCGGCTGCGGTAGAATCTCAATTCTATTAAGCCACGGAAGCTTGATGTTGCACTTAGTGAAGAAAGAACACAGATTATTATTCTTCTATGTTTTCATTACCCTTAGCTAATTGTTTCTCACGGTGACGTGATAATATTAAATGATGCAAAAACCAGTAATTATAATAAATACCAAAAAGTTAGAAAAAAATTTCTCCTTGCGATACACAGCTTATTCATGGTGACGAATCAGCTGTGGGTACTAGAGTAAGGGTAAAGGATAAAGCATTTGCCGTTGATCAATCCCTTTTTGGGATGCGGCACGTATTCTACTTCCATTTGTACATTCGCAGTGGCATTTGAATGCGATGTGGCCTGTACAATGACTTGCGGGGGCCAGCCGTTGTTCAAGTCAGTATTTTTTATCCTCCCAGACAAGTCTGGCACCAATTTACCGACCCCGGAGGGATGGAAGGCTTGGTTGGCCCGGGCGACTCACGACCCAGGATTTGATCCCTGGACCGCGTGGTGAGCGCGCCACTTGTCACTACACCACTTCCGCCCGGGTACTAGAGTAATCCCCACTTAACTGCTTGTTCCGGACAGGTTGTAGAGTGACCTTATAGTCACTGACTGTATGCTTCTGTTTAGCAGAGGTTTTTTCAATACTTACGAAGTTGGCGATTCTAAAAACGCCTTGCAACGCCCGTGGACGGTCGCATTTCCATCGCTCTGTGGAGTATTCACTAATTCTTCTGTCAACTGCTTTGTTGGTTGAAATCTGCGGTATTTCATTTTATTAATTGATAAGATCCACCCTTGCTTGTGGTCTGTTTCAATTGATCGTTTCTTCTGCTAAAGTTTTTTTTGTCATCCTTTATTTAGTACAGGTCCGCTTGGGGTGATCCGTGCGCCGCGTTCGATTGATTGTTGGTCATCTTGTGCTTTGGTGTCATTATGCCGCGACGATCCACACGACAGGGCAACAGTATGCATGAGACAGTGAATGACTCAATGAGTAACGCCTCTACAGTTCGCTCCGACCAGGTAGTAGGTACTAATCCAGCAGATGTGGATTACTCGCAGTTGTCTGCTAGGGAGATTTTAGATGCAATTCTACAACGCAACAGAGATCCACAAATCGATAAAATGGTGAGGGCCCTTGCGGCCAAATTACCTGAGGAGATATCCAGTGGCATCGAGGCTGAGAAGCGGGCGCGCAGCCTTGTCATCGCCGGTCTACCTGAGGCTCCTTCTGAGCTGCAACCGTCTGCTAAGCAAGCGGATCTAGAGGCTAAGGTTGCTAGCCTTTTAGACACTCTCGGGGTCGAATGTCGGCCGCTTGAAATCTATCGGATGGGTAGGCTGGATGACTCACGCCCGCGCCTAGTTAAATTAGTCCTACCGTCTCGATCCCATTGGATAGCTGCCCTAGCAAATTCTTATCGTTTGCGTAATTCAAAGTTCTCTAAAGTCTTTATAAGAAAAAGTATGACAGCCGCAGAGCGCAAGCAACATTATGACCTTATGCAGGAATGTAAGAAGCGCAATGAGCAAGCCCAAGGCCGCGCCTGGGTAGTTTACCGAGGCGAATTGAGGCTAGCCCAGGACCTACCCAGGGCGCAGGCTGCGGGAAACGCCTAACCGGTCATGGTTTCCTCAAGGGTTTAGATTGTTTACTGTTTAATTCAAGGAGTCTCTCAAATAAGATACACCATCTTCATCTTTTGCTTAGTAACTATGGGCCGGATATATTATTCATAACAGAGACTTGGCTTTCGCCTAAAATTTCCGATTCTGAAATCATCACTACTCTCCCATACAAGCTATTCAGATATGATCGTACGCACCGAAAAGGTGGTGGTGTATGTTGTGTGGCTAAAGACGGCTTGAAAATCTCACCTCTTACTAGTCTCCCTGAATCAAAGTCTGATATTCTGTGCCTTGACGTTATTGATTCATTGCTTCCAGAACCTGTTCGAGTTGTCCTTATTTATCGCCCTCCCGATTCTTCTGTGGGAGACGATGAACACCTTATCGACATCTTGCTAGAGCTCTCCCTTTCGCACAGATATTTTATGATATTAGGGGATTTCAACCTTGATGTCAACTGGAAGACCTTCATTCCCAAAAATTCTTGCTCTTCTAAATTCCTAGAATTCTTCAAGTGTTGTGGACTTACCCAGCATGTCTTGGAACCTACTCGAGGCGATTCAATTTTAGATTTAGTCCTATCGTCTGCACCTTTTCTGAGAAACGTTTCGATTCAGCCGCCCTTTGCGTCCTCCGACCACAACAGTATTGCGTTCCAAATTGAGCTGACTAAACCCGAGTTGAAAAAACTACCCCTTCCTGACTTCAATAAAACTGACTTTCGTGGATTGTCTTCATACTTGGACTCGGTTGACTGGTGGGATGCCTTGTGTTGTTATGCTTCTGTAGATGACCTATACAGAAAATTCTGCCGTGTACTCTACATGGGCTTGGCTAGGTTTGTTCCCTTCCACTCAGCAGAGCCACAGAAGGTGCGCTACCCCTATCATATACTGAATCTAATGTCCCAGAAGCGTAGATTATTCAGTACGCTTTTGAATCCTTTGGTGAACCCCTCCTACATTAAAATTTGCTCTGAATTGGATCGTCACTTGAGAAGGTTCCTAAGCAACAGGGAAAAGCGCACCGATAATTATGCCAGTAATAAAGCAATATTTTCTCTAATGAATAAGCGAATGAAAGCCCGTGCCGTTCTTCCTGTTCTTCGCGATGATGCTGGAAATCAATATCTTGAGGATGAGTCTAAGTCCGAAGCGCTAGCAAAATACTTTTCCTCAGTTTTCCTTGTCAATTCAGTCGATCCCCACTTAGCTGCAGAGAACATTCACACTTCTTCCGTTTCCCCTGAGGTCATGGCTTCTATGTCTATCCACCCAAGTGAGGTGCTGTGTATACTGAAAACTCTGAAGTGTTCCACTTCAGCAACTTTTGATGGAATACCTCAAATTATCTATAAAAAGTGTGCTAGTTCTCTTTATAAACCTCTGTCAATGATCTTCAATGCCTCGCTGCTGTACAACGAAGTCCCTTCTTTGTGGAAAGAATCTATTGTCACAGCGATTCCGAAAAGTAGTGACTCTGTACTTCTCTCTTCTTATCGCCCGATTAGCATTACTCCGCCCCCCATAAAAGTTCTTGAAAAAATAGTAAGTGATAAAATTCTTGCATGGCTCAACAAAAACAACTCCATTCCCCTTGAGCAGCATGGCTTTGTGACTGGAGCCTCTACCGTTACTGAGCTCGCTGATTCTGTTTTTGACTGGACTTTAGCGATTAATTCTGGAAAATCAGTGGATGTAATTATTTGATTTGTCAAAGGCGTTCGAAATAGAGTCGATCATGGTGAAGCTCCTTTTCAACTTCAGCAGCTAGGTATCGAAAGGATCATTGCTTTGTTGATCCAATTCTACTTAAAAGATAGAATGTTTTGTGTCAAGGTTGGAAATTCCTTCTCTAGACGCTATAAATGTACAAGCGGAGTCCACAGGGAGGAGTTTTATCGCCTGCTTCTTTTCCTGATGTAGTACGCATGATTACCGGTGAAGCTAAAGACACATCATTCAGTTTGAAAGTGCGCATGTCATGCCGATGAACATTCAAAGTCTACGGTATCTATGACGCTGAAACCATGATGATGTGTCCATGCACTTTCTAAGTCTATTTCAAACATGATGGAGTGGGCCTCGGCTTGGAATATACCTGTAAACCTCTTGAAAACCTCGTTCTTCATAATTGGCAAAACAGGAATACATGGAGTACTCTTTTGGTAGACTATGTCCTAGCACGTCACAAGAAGTGCGGATCTTGGAGTTCTCGTTACTCGAGATTTGACTTTTGAGCCTCCATAAAAAATGTGTAGCGCAAAGCGTTTTTCGTACTTTTGCGATTTGCAGAATACTCGGTGCCATGATAGCACTATATCTCTTAAATTATATTAGAGCTTATGTCATACCAGTCTTAGAATATGCTCTCAGTTTGGAGCCCTAGTACACGTAACTTCACACTGCAACCGAAAAGTGCAGCAGGTATTTACAAGAATTCTTTTTTTTGAGGAGTCGATCTAGTAGGTTGAGAGGACATGGGGATAGTGCTGGTGTATATTCTGCATCCGCCACACCTACCTAGCTACAGTGACAGGCTGAAAATTTTTAATCTGAAAACTTCCTATATAGGCGAAGTTTTCAATGATGTTGGTTTTTTGTTTCAAGTTTTGAAAGGTTTTGTCAAGATAAAGCCTAGCAGGTATTGGGTGTTTAGCCTGCAGAGGGGTGTAAGGCAGCTCTCTACAATGTGTACGTATATGCAGGTATTTCCAGGCCAGGACCTCAACTCTCATTTTTTTCGAGGAGCTAAGTGTTGCAATGCTTCGGCGTAACATTATGGAAGCGACATGTTTCTGTTTTAAAAAAAGACTTAGCAAGATGACTGGTTGTCAACTCTTCACATTACAGATTTCTAGCTGACTCATTTCCAGTATTACTACGACTGCTACTGATGCCGTGATCATATTTGGTTCCTATTTCGACATAATGAGGCCGCCACACCTTCACCTTCCCAGCTACATTCTCTTCTCTGATGATTCCAATTCTCCATTGCCTCGAGTCTAGAAATCTAGTAATGAATTTTCAAACTGTCACAGACACAAGTTTCTTCGTCACAGGGTATGTGATAGTGGTTAGTTCTCAACGAACGCTTCTGGCAGTTTGTCGAACTGGTCATGTGTGCGCGTTTGTGATGAAATCATTCTCTTGTCAACGCCGGTTCACCTCCGTCTAGTGCGTCCGCCTTTAGTAAGCAAGCATTTCACAGCACGTTTGCAGTAAGTAATGGACATCTTGAGAAGTATAAGTGGATTTATAATGGTCTCGGGTCGTGTTCTCATCAAGGCCCACACAACTGAAGGAGCTTTCGTGGTATGTCCAAGCGTTTTGGTCAGTGGGGCTCCTAGCTGTAGTTTTACTTACTAACTTGCCGATTCCACGAGGGCGGTCGGTATACCCGGTGTTTCGAAGTTTCGGCAAAGTCCCATGACCCCATACGTGTGCGACCCGAGCCATCATAGGCGCGGACCCATGCCAGGTTGATGTACGGACTGTGGGGGAGCTTCTGACAATTTTGACGTCTCTGGTACACGCACGCTCCTTATGTGGACTTGGAGGAAGTGCTTGCTGCCTAATATTGATGCTTCCTATTGGGGTCATTGTCTTAGCCTAGCCTAACCGCTACAATTTTTCAGTTAATGAACTTATGGACTGTTGACTGCCGCTCTGGTATGCGCTCTTAACAGTAAACCACTGGTGCATGCGACCACGATGATGGGCTCCTATTGTAACCTCTCATATCTTTCCCTATCTTCTAAGAGTATCTTCGTTGTTTTGCTTCGGTTTTCAGAGTTACATTTCCTTAGTTTTATTGTTTGTTTTGTGTTTTTAACAATTCTATGTTTTTTTTTTTTTCTTTCAGCCCTGTGTATTATGATTAATTGCTCTACTCGAGTGTGTTTGCGATCGTTTTTGTTGGTGGTGCTCCCGCCACTTCTTGATGCTTGACTTTAAGCAGCGGCGCCTGTTTAGCGCACAACTAAATAAATAAATAAATAAATAGAATAAAGTAAAAAGTATATGTAAAACCTATGCGAAGCTTGCAAGAATTTATATTCTCTTGGCTTAACCACGTTTAGAATACTTCTAACGTACATTGCAAGTAAACTGAGGAAAACTCGTTTTTTATCAGCACAACACGTTCTTCTGATCGGAATTCCACCACTACACCTCCGATGAACTTCTACGCATTAAATATTGCTCGGTTTTGCGGCATTCATGTTCCACAATCACCACTCAAAATTTAGGGATATGCGGCCAAAAAAGCCGAACACGCCTGTCGTCAACGCGTGAGCCTGACTGAACTTAAGGTAGAAATTCTCGAAATATTTAAATACTGCTACAGTTTTGAAGAGGACTCCCAGACGGCGAGGGAGAAAACATCAAAAAACCTCAGTCAATTAATTCTAGGACCTTACCTACCGTGTTGGAGGACATGAGATTTTGACTAGCCTGCTTCAACTATGGTCTCTATTTTTTTGGCTTATTTTAAAGCTTACCCACTTCAGAAAAAACAGCCGCAGTTCATGATTTTACACCTTCGTGACGAGCATTTTCATGATCATGACTGACCAAAGATCTAGTGCAGCTACTCTCCCTTCCTACACACATCGCATAGCCTAGCGTAATAGAAAAGACCCTTCTTAAAAGACGTGATATTGGCTGAAACGTGAAGGCATCAATGCGAGAAGCACAAGCGGCTAACAGTGACAGATGTTAGCAAGAGTGCAAAAGTAATGGGCTGGAGCATAATATCGTAGCGTTTTCCATATCGAGCTGCGAATTCAGTGAATGCAAGTATGTACTACCCAGGAAATCACATATATCATTTGAAAGCACTTCTTCCGCTCTACAATTCCTTGTTTGGCGTTTTCTTCTATCCTGTAAGTGTACTCAGATATGACGCTTAGAAGTTGGAGATCAAGGCGTGCGAAAATCTATATACAGAAAAAAAGCTACCAAAATAGGAGATTTTCGGAATCCATCGTCATCATCGAACCTCACTCCAGTCGACCCGTACTTTCAAATCATATCCACGTCCTACAAATTGAGAATAATGGGGATTCTGAAAACGGGTCTACTACCCTTTTTTGATTTCCAAACCCGCTAATTTCTTCGAATCAAAGTCGTAAATAATGACGAGAAGAACATCGCTGATCAGCTTCATGCTTGACTTTGCTTTTGGGTTTCGCTTTAAACGTTTTTGCCGGATGGGAGCGCTACGATATTATGCTCCGACGCTCCAATACACAAAATTCGACTGCCAACCATCTTTGTGAAAAGAATGTGTGCTAAACGACAGTTCATAACTTTATGTTTTCATTTATCAATGACAACTGTTTCTATAGCAGTGAACAAAATCGCAAGGCAATGACAGAACATTCATTGAAACTGACTGTAATGACATATCATTTGACATGCAAATATAATAGTGATTCAACACAAATCACGGGTAATTTAAACAATATGGCAAAAAGCAAAACAACATCATAAACCCGAGCTAGAGTTGAAGGATAGCAACAAAATTTCCAGGTAACGACATATACCCCTTCGGAATGACGTGATTATTAACGTTTGGGCGCTGTGGAGTAAGACATGAAATGCTGCGGCAGGGCATCAGAGGATGTGAAACCAATATCACATACCTAAAAGGTGAACATCAAAATATTCTTGATTTCATGAATGTAACAGAGAAAATTACTGCCTCGTTAGCTAGTTCAGGAGGGCACAGTGCTATATTAGGCTTGACTTTCATTTTCTTTATATAAAAACAATTCTTCCCTTCTATGAACAGCTAAGGTTACCGGCTGATGTTCAGGGGTGTGTTTCACTAGGACAGAAAGCGAATTTTTTGCGCTCCGCAGCGCGAAACATTTTTCGCTGCGGGAACCTCAGGTCCACCTCTAATCAGCGGACCCGAGGTTCCCGCAGTGAAAAATCCGTGGACTCGAGGTGCCCGCAGCGAAAAATACGAGAAGTCGCTTCCCGTTCCTAGCGAACCACACTCGATGTAGATACAGTGGAAAAGATTCACAGAATTTCAAAGCCTTATCTGCTATGGGCTAAAGTATGGCAGCAGCAGCACTAGCATGTGGCGCCACTACCGGGTACCCCCCAGGAGGCCCATCGCGCGGCAAGAAGGCCGAATCGGCGGACGAGTCACGGCGCGTGATCTGCGATGAAGGCCGTGCGATGGGACATTCTATTCAACTTTACGCGATTTCCCTAATACACGCGCGACTCGTCCGCTGACTCGGCATTTTTGCCGCGCGATGGGCCTCCTGGGAGGTACCCGCCACTACCACATCCATGGTAAGAAAAATCAACCTAAAGGGCCAAATGGGCCAAGACAAATGAGCCTTAACGGCAAAAGTCGGGCTCAATAAGGGGGTATTATGGCGATGAAACTAAGTATACAGATGCGAAGTAAAACGACAGTGGAGAAAAACAGAAGAAGCGTCGACAAGGCCGTTAACAAAACCCTCTTTCCCACTAGCAGTGAAGGAGGCTGTCTTGGGAAAGAGGCACGTACTAACAAGTTTTCTGAAGATATCAGTCGATCTATCGGTTCATACGGCAATCAACCTAGCTGATTCACACGTTATGCCAGCCACGCACCACTTCCGGAGGCGGGCGGTCCCGGATTGACGAGGCAGTCCCGGATTGAAACCGACGGCCCCGGGGGCCTAACGACGTTTTTCAAGGTGGGACGTTGCTGCAACGTGTGCAGCTATTCACGTACAACCTCCGGGCACGGGAATTACTCCTCTAGCGCGGCTGAGCCCGACCTTTGCCTTTAAATCTCTTCAAAAGGATACACCGGAACGTGATTCGTCACAAGATAAAACACTGCCTATCACATTGGCCGACCTCCACAAGTCATCGCCATATGAGCATCGAAGTGCCTGTATGGAACTGCTATACTTTGAGATGCTGAATGGGGACGAGAAGTGTCCCCAAGAGACCCGTCGCGCGACGAAGAAAGGGATGCAGATGCGGCAAAGAACGAGTCGCAGCGCGTGCTGTCCGGTATGAGACGCAGTATTTACACCCTATTTAACCTCACGCCTAACCGTCACCGTATGCGCTGCGAATCGTCCTTTGCCGCGTCTGGCTGGGTCTTTTCCTTCGCGGCGCGACTCTTCGAGGGGGGAGACACCCGGGGACCAGACATTTAAAGACAAGCCTCGGGACAAAATGGGTGTGTATTATTAGGTTGAGCAAAAACTATCCGCCGCCATTTTTTTCAGGCTCATGGCTCTTTGGTTTTTTCTTGTCGAATATTTCCGAAGATTACCATGTAGTCTGAAAGCGTGCAATCTGTTGTACATTTCGATGTACGACACTTATGTATTCACTTCACTCTAGAGCTTTAATGCGAGCAAACAAATATTGCAAATGCTACATGAGTGCAAGCTGAGCTCGAAACTGAATGCTTCTGCATCTGCTCGTAGGTCCAATGAAGCCTGGAATGAAGGCACGGTTGCAGATGGAGCCGTTAGGAGTCGCCTGTTGATTATGCATTTATTTTCGTCAGGTTTGTTTTTCAATGAACTTAAGAGTGCAATGAAAACGACGGACAATTTTCGCTCAACTTAATAAGAGCGTTGAGCAAAGAAGCTGGAGAAATGGTCTAAAAAAGAAGAGAGCAGAAGAAACCTGCGATCACGCCCCGAATAAGGACTTCCACCCTGGCATGAAGGTGGGGCGTATTGGACGAGTTCCACGAGCGATTAGCTCCAGTTGCTCCAATTTCAATGACATGAACCACAATGCTAACGCTGCCGCAATCGCGGCGACCTCTTCTCGTAACGTCACATAAGAACTGCTACTGCCTGCCACACACTTTCAATTCACACAAGCAACGCGACATCAACACTTGTCCTGTCACCATGACCAGGGATGGAGCAGGTGAGTGTGCCTAATCTCGAAACGTGCCTTTACAGGCGGATTACAGTGAAAAAGTAGCCCATTGGAAATAAGCCACAGAGTGGTGCACGAAAGAAGAAAAACAAACAAGAAAAAGGGCCTAGAACCGTAGAAATAAAACTCCTTCCTTGCCCATTAACTTCCGCATTGATGTGACCCTCATCTTTGCCGCTCTCTTCAACGCTGACGCCTCTGCTAAACAGCCGGAGGCTCAGACAGCGAGAGGAGGGTGTACCGTGCGATAGCGCCCCAAAAGCGCAGCGGGGAGGCCACTTAGATCTCCGGGGCATATCCTTCTGGCGATCCGCACTCTCAGGAGGTTCATCTGTCTCTCCACTAGGTAGTTTTCCTTCTCAGACCGTTGTCCTTATTGTGGAATCGTCCCTTGACCATTCATCGCCGACGAATGTCTTAGCCGAAGCAGCTGCATAAGTTATTCAACGATGGTGGACTGCTCTCAAGCATAATAAACCGTCGCCGCTCTTTTTCGAGAATTTTGCATCCCCTCTCCCGTTTAGGAAGATGTCAAGCGACCACCACCACCAGCACCAATATTTGGAGGCTTCTAACAGAACCGCTCCCCTCCCACCCCCTAGCTCGACTGCCATCCTCACCAATTATGACTGTTTCTTTAGGTCTTTCGCATTTAAACCTTAGAAGAGTCGGCCCAGCCCAACTCCGCCCGCCTTTTCCTCCCAAATGGCCCTCGAATGAAGGTGGAGGTGGGTACAGTGGTATCATGAAGCGGCAAATCACGTTACCTTGCATAAAACTTTGGCCAATTTCATCAAAACCCCGTCAAATATAACCCTTTCGCTACAACCCCGTTCACACCTTTCCCAGAGGTAGCTGACCTTGTCCAACCCCAAAATGCGAACCCCCTTTCCAAGTCACAAATGCGACATCTTCGAATAGCGTACGGATGGTTGACCCTGCTTTTAGCTCAAAGACCTCCTCGTTGTTACTAGAAGCAGCTCGATCATTGATCATAATCGACGAGGCCAACATATCAGTCTGGTATCGGAGTCCGCGACCCGCCGAGCGAACTGCGCGGGATCGGGGACTCTGACACCAGCCTTAGAGATCTCTGATTGTGTATAGCCACAGCATTAACCTACAAGGCCACTAAGGCTCAGTACCGTCAAGAAGGCTCGCCTAGGCTGGAGGTGTTGCTCTGTATTTCTTGGAGTAGAGATCCCGAACTCAAAAGCTATCTGAAACCATACCAACACGATGTCACCCATAATGTGGTGGCAATAACGAGTAAAAGCAGCATTGGGTTCTCGCTGAACTCGCTCGTTTACTAGCAATTCTGTGGCGTAGGAATCCTAGAGAAGACAGCATCCTCAGATGCATCACCTGACCTCAACCCTCTATATTACCGAGTACGGGAATAGTTGAGATGAACCGTGCATGAAGGCGAAGAAATTAAAGGTATCACCGTGCGACGAATGTCCTGGTATTAGTCGCGCAGAAAGCATCTGCTGGTTTCGTAATCGTTTGAAGCCTGACGCTAACCTACAGCGTCCCACCCGTGCACCATACACTATGCATAACACAACTAAATGGAGGCGAACAGTTCTATTCGATTTAATGATCTTTTTTTTTCAAGGGCAATGGCAGCCAATAATTTTAATAATAGCTAGGATAATATCAAACATATTAATGATGATAAACTACCCGTTATGGGTTACAGGTAAAACAGAGACAAAGTCATGGAGATGGATGCAACGGTAACCAATAGGGGGTAACTTATCAGATAGAAACATTCGGTTAGTTTAGCCATGTATGATCAATCGAGTGTTAAAGTGTTGGAAAAAGTGAATTTTTTGAACCCGCTCCAGTGATAACGGTTTTCCCTAATACCACTGCGGTTTGACTAAGATGCCTCCTGTTAACCAAAAAATATTTCCGAGCGAGTGGAGACAATAGAAAAATACCTGGCAAGCGTGCACTCTTGAGGACACATGACCAAACCAGTGCTGCTGCAAAGATACCGCAGAGTTGAACGACTTATTGCACAACGTACAGGGCAGGGATAATTGCTGGAAGCGCTTCTTTTTAGGGAATACAGAATTCAGTAACGAAGTATTATCTGACCTCGTTCACAAATGTCACTTCATTCAAGTACAGTAAACGATACACGCCTCATTGTTCATGAAAGACTGCCTGATGGCTACCCTATATTAGGAATTGATTACTAAACTACCAAGGTTTTTTTTAGCTATTGTAGATAATGTGCCTAACATATAACATTTGCAGCATTTTGATAAAAAGTAATCCTACCTCATCCTCTTGACTTCTTTTCAAATCTGAAGCGGATGCGACACGTGATACGTCGGCGCTAAATACGTTGCTTTTTAAGGAAATGGCGATGGGAAATATACCGAAAATAGTGTTAATCTTTTTTCACCTTGGCCAAGAGGAGTCACTTTCATCGGACAGAGGCGAGCCACGCTGGTCTGAGATGTCTTCGGTCAAGCGACTTGCTAACAAGGAGGTCACCGACGAGACCGAGTCATCTTCGCGTGCTTCTGAAAAACAATGAACACATAACTCTTCAGCGATACAGGAAAGCAACACCTTAAATACCTATGCCAAGAGTCGCATCGACACAGTGCTGATAATGAGCAACGATATGAAGCCGGAGACTGTCCTTGTTCGGATATACCTTATCACAGTTCCGTTTGGGACATTTCAGATCTTTTCCATCCCGTATGGAGATATGGTCCGAATAAAGATGTACCTGAAACACAGCTTTGATTTCAGACAAAAGGAGTAATACCAAACCCATAACTTATAAAGTATAAGTGAATATTCGGATGGAATAACAGCTAACAAAACAACAGAACCAATCAAAAATATGATATTTGAGTACTCTATGAAGCCTTCGTGGAGCAGTGCAACGTTTAACAATCCTTCTTATTTTATAAAGCGCTAACTTTGTGTGTCGGTTTGTATGTCTGTATGTGTGTGTGTATGTATGTATGTATGTCTGTGTGTACCGTCCGCAAAATGAAGTGAGTGAGAAGGAAGCTCATGGGATAAACAAACCGCTAACAGAATCACGTAGCTCACAGGACTTTAGCTATCTGTGTTTTGCAATGGCATGATTGTGATAGTATCCCCAACGGCTATATAAACACGCACTTAGCACACTTTCGGTCATTCGACAAGGTGATGTTGTGGTAGCCGGCGAGCAGAGGGGAACGAGGGGAGAGCAAGGAGAGGTGGGAGAAGGGAAAGCTTACGCAAGGTAGGGAGGTGTCGGCGCTTGCCGGGGGACCAATCTGGTATATTACATATTGCATTTAACAACTTGCTAGCATGTAACATTTTCGAGAGCTATCTTTTATATGTACATATGTTTTTACACCTACTGAGCGCATTTGTTTGAAGAGTATTGGTATCGCACGTGAAAAAAAAACAGCAGCAACAAAGCAAACTTGGAGAGGTCGACTGTCGTAAGACGTGAACTGATGGTGATAGAAGTGACGGATTTCCAAAAATTCAAGCCATTTCACAAAGTTTTTCTGATTATGAAGGCTCCTCAAATTTCTTCTACTTCAAAATTGAGAGCGCATAGTGCTATCCATTGTTAATATCATAACTACTCATATGTCATGTGAAGGTTGGGACCTTTGTGCATGTTTACGAAGACACACATTGAAGGCAAACGACATGACGGCATCAGATTTAGCCGCTCTGATAAGTGGTCGAGCCAAGTTCATGGAAAACATCTCACCTGTAAATCTATGGGAGAATCAGCGTTAACCCCACATATTTGACATTTGGTACATTGAAGCATGAGAGGTGAACAAGCATAACCATTATTGCATAACACGCGCATGAGAGGTGATGAGCAAGCACTTCGTTCCTGAAAAAATACATCTTCATGTTGTTTGGATCCAAGCAAAAAAAACTTTCTTCATAGATCGCTAAAACTGTTCTGAGGACAGGTCGGCTGCCACTAATTGGGCGATCATAAATTAAAATGGTGAAGCTGGTCCTAGTGCTGATGATCGCCCGCTCCGTCGTCAACGTCATGTGCCCAGTCTTTTCTTGAGGTAACTATTAAAAATGGGCGCGCTCGGTAATTGTCTAAACATGACAACACGGTCTTCAGCTGTTCAATAGTCGAAAAGTAAAAAGTTGAAAGCACTGCAGTTTGCAAGACTTTTTCACTAGCCTCTCCACCCACACATCGTTTTCAAATCGCCTCCTTTAGGGGTATGCTTCTTGGGATGGCAGAGGAAACGACGTAGACCTTAAATTCACTTCAGGCAACCGTTTAGCATATACAGGAGGGAGAAGGGCGAAAAAGTCATTTTTCCTTCACTTCAAAACGGAATCAGTCACACTTTATCAAAATCAAATCAGATACTGCCAACTGAAATCCAAGAGTACATCCCGATCTATCAAAAAACTTCACAATGGCTTTCTACACCAAAGATTTCAGAACAATTTTTCACGGGAACAGTGCATCATTCGAGCTCAATGAAGTCCTTGACGAATGGTAGATCATGATATGATATGCTGATCGGAAGTGGTCTTGCCTTGCCATACGCAGAGCTACGGTCTTTAAAATGTTACCTATCCTGTAAAACGATTGAAAAAATTACGCAGCTTCAACTGCGGGAGGTCTCCTGCACATCCAGTAGTATACTACATATAGCCACCGTTTACCTATCACCCTATCACCCGTTGGACTTTTACTGAACTCGACGCCGTACTGAACGGAGTTATGAATTTTGTACTGTCGAGTAGATGCCGTCGTTGGCTCGGAATTACGTATCTGAGGAATTTCCGTCAGTCGTACTTCCCACGGGAAAATTCACCAGCCAGCGGACAGTCGCCGGCAATAAACAGCCGTCGCTCACTTCCCTTCCCACTTCCCCTTTCTCCCCTTACTCTTGCATTCTTAATAACCAATAAATATGAAACACCCAACCTATTATGTAATTTCCTAAACTATCACCGCCTTCATATTAGGCCTAGGTACCTTTGACATAACACAGTAAGCGTAGCTCAATCAGGTATAACTCCCAGCCATCCCAAACTCCACCCCAAATCGCTTGGTTATTTTTCAACCAATTACATTTACTGACAGGTAACAGATACGGCCTTCTACACATTGGATACTCAATCGAAAAAATACGTGCAGAGAACGAAAGTGAGAGTGACCTGCCTCTTCATTATCTTCCCGAACCTGCGTGACGACCTCCTGAACAGAGCGCATATTGTTCGAATCTGTACGAGGGGGTAGAGAGCGATCCTATAATGAGACTAGTATTCGATTTGAATCTTGGTCCTCAATGTCGAGGAGACGTATCTAATGAACAAAACTAGAATCAAGTCAAATCGGGAAAATTGGAAATGCTTACTGCATCGATACGCGGAGGTATCCACAGATTTGCCGAGACCTGCTTGACATTCCCTCCTTCATCTTGACAATGGTGATTTGGACTTAATCGTGCTAATGAGACGGCCCTCAAAAATGCATACATTCAAGTGAAATCAAAACGCATGACGACCAACGCAATGCAAACTATTACTCATCCAAAATACTCACCGTTTTTCGCAGAGACTGGGTTCAGATGATGCGCTGGAGAGGTTATCGGAAAAGAGGTACTGCAAACTAGAGGTCCCCGCATCAGTTCGCCGCCCGCTGCATGGAGTGTCAACTGGCTGGAAAGAACAATTAGGAGAACAACCAAGATCGCACATGTGCGAAGAAGAGTTAATAACCTCTCTCTGCGCTAGAACAACTGGCAGAGTCTCAGGATCCTCTCGACTCTTCACGCTCTCGGTGCTCGTACTCTCCAATTCTAGTCTGAAACCAGACGGACGGCAAACCGATACCGTTTGCAACGAACTGCGCTGATTTTCAGCACGAATCGCCTCCACTATTTCTGAAATTAACTGTGACAGTAAGTGTATAAATGATTGAACAATGATAAAATATAGGATATTAGAGGCAAGACGAGATGGGGCGTGTGGACGTTTTCCCACTATGTTACCATATTTCCAGACATCGCATTGCTTTTAAAGTGGCATAACTTGGCTTGGATTCAGGACAGGCAAAGAAACATACTCGCTTTCTATAAACTGGCTAATATCTAATGAATTAAGAACTGTAGCACCTGAAAAAGAAAGGAAAGGAAGCAAATGTAAGCGGAACAGAGAGGTACTGTTTGAACAGATGGAAGAACCTCTCCCGACGAAGCATGGTGCAGACAGTGCCTGAGCACTTAATGACATTGCTGCGATTCGCGAATGTGGTTCCAGCCGTGCCTCGCGTAAAGCGCAGGACCTCGTGCCGCTGAGATGCTCTCGTCCAGTATGGTTGATGGAGGTGATTGGCTCCATCAAGCATACTGGACGCCAACTATCACCATTGGATATCATATGGTGCCAACTATGCCCCATAGCCCTCTATCATACTTTGCGCCGCGCGGACACTGCAGTCAGTGCGATCTGTGCGGACGTGAAGAGCACTAGGACACACACTGGCGCAAGACGCGTACTTGGGGCCAGTCGGTGTTGCCTTCGGTCGTGCTTTTCTCAACTTTTTCTTGTTCATTTGAATTATTTCACCGGTAGTCCCTGAACGGTCAGCGTCACGTACTTGCGTCTGGTAGCAATCCAGCTAAGTGAGGTAACAGAAATGATAATTAACATGAAAAAGGTCTTGCGTTAGAAAAACACTCCGAAAGCGAACAAAACGGCATGTAATGGTAAGTTGAACATCAAGAAATGTCCGAATGAATTGGAATTAAAAACGATCGATCGAAAGGCATCGACTGCGCATCAGAAGAGCCAGTACTTGTGTTGACGTTCTTCGCACTATCCGCAAGGACCGCACTAAGCGTCTTATCCGCAGTGTCTGCGCCGACGAAAAGTATGAAAGGGACCTTACCGCTCCTCTTGCTCAACCTACGATTTGTGGTCGGACGAACGATGGGTTCGCACAGGGGGGCGAAAAAAATCCGTGCGCGGGACATTTCGCTTCGTTTCAAACATTATATAAAAAATTATGTGTGTTTCTCTGTTCAAACTGTTTGCCATTGCTTGTCATTGGTTTGCAAAAGAAGGCATTTGTTTTACAAGTCCTGACGAAGACCTGCTCAAGTTGGAACGCTATTGCTCGGCAAGCAAACAGCTGGCCTGAACCAAACGATTTCTTCGACGCTTACAGTTTTTCTACGACCCCTGCAGAAAACGCAAAGCAACGGGAAGAGGGAAACCGTCTCTAAACTAAACCCGTAAGAAACTACTATCCCCACCCAATATGTGAGAATTAGTAATCAAGAAAAGGACAAAAAGATGACTTGAGCATGAATAACAGCTGCATGCTGCACAAAACCAAGCCTTCCGAAAATCTGTTCAGATGACAGCAAATATGGAGCGCTCAATGGACCTTACCGTATACTGAACTGGCACTTTCCCACCGCAAAGCAAGATCGAAGGAAAAATATAAGAAGTTGCGCCATTTGTTCGCGGTGCGGTGATCGTAGGACGCCCTGCTGTTCCACAAATGGAAAGTTCACCGTTTATATACCTCAAATTTTCCAGAACCACTTCCAACCTTTTAGCCCAGCTCTCAATCATCCGTAAATGTAAAGTACGTGCAAGAATCTCTTTCCCTGGAAACTTGATAATTCGAGGTTAGACCAGTGCTTCAGCAAGAACATGTTTTTGTCGACAAAAGCGCGTAAATCAATGGGAAGGTCTCATCGAAAGTATGGACCCTACCGGGACCCTTGCTTCAAACCAAAGTTTGGTTCAAAACACTAACCATCTCATTCACATTCCTACTTTCAGTGGAGGACGACAGTATTTTCAGAGTGATAAAAATGGTCACATGAAGCAAGATGAAGCGTGTGTTATTATTGGAGGATGCATAATCTATCATCGATCGTACCTACTGAACACCTACCGAAATTGAGCCTGAATTTAGAACTCAACAGCATTATTAACATGCATAATTCTCATTACTTGAAAGAAAATTATGACATATGTAGTCTCGTACCAAACAAGGAATTTCGAGCCTTCTCACAGTCCGTCGTATCGACACTGTTGAGACATGCGCCATTGTCTTTCCTGGTGATCAAAGAAAGAGAATCCTCCGGAATCCTTTTTAAGGTTTCCAGCTTCATCACATGAGTTTTTGACCTAAATGAGACAGCGTTCGCTCACAATTCCAAAATCGAAAGATAATAATTACCTCAAGTGCTTGGCCAAAATGCCATGTTTTCGGAAACCAATATTGCAATCAGTGCAAACGAATGATCGTGGGTTTGAGGCGATTGGCGCTGATCCTCCGAGAACAGACTGTGTTGATGCACAGGGATCAATGTTGGCCGTCACACTCTCGTCTATCTACAAATGATGGGAAATACAGCTTCATCGAGGGAAGTGAACTAATTAAAAGAAATTCTCGCATCAAAAATCCACAACCGAATCCTTAATACTCAACAGAGGGCCTTGGCGCATTTTGAAATTTCGAGTAAAAAAAATACGCTTTCAATTTGCGTGGCATAGCCCTACTGAAAATTTGATAAAGTATGAAAGGTCCTATGCATCATTAAGTCTGCTGGTGATAGAAGGACAAGGGATCAATTTGATTTAATTCGACCCCTCAACTTTGCTTGACTCCATATCCCTACTGCATGCCATAACGTGCCCAGTCTGTCTTCACATGCAAAGGCCGAATCGAATTCGTAGCAGTTGGGGCATGAGGCTGGATGTGTGGAACACACATAAACTAAACAGAACCCTTTTTCCAGCCCACGATGGGTTGGGGGTTGGGGGAGAACACGCACTGAGTGGTACCAAAGGCAAAAATTGGAATTCCACATTCGCGGAACATGATGGTACCCTGTTCAAGGAATCAGTAAATGAATTCACTGTCAATTTGGGGAACCACTCAGTCTTGCTTCCAATTTGACGAAAGTCGAGGCAGTTTTTCAGGGTATTTTTTCTGCATAAGGATGCCCCGCTCTTTTCCGTAGTGCCCCGATGACGCACAGGATATGCAGCTAAAGTTGCCCCTCCTTTGAAAGCACGTCATGTTGTTGAGAGCGCTCTTGCGCTGTCAAGGTTTTGTTTATTTATTTATTTATTTATATTATACATGCGCTAAGCACAGTGTCATGTTGAAGATAAAAGAAATGACAGTTAAAACCAATAACCTGCATCTTTTTACTCAATCTTGTGTATTCAAAACCAGCCCTGAAAGTAAAAAAAGCTGCGCTGCAAAACAGACTTAGGTTGCTGAAGCACAAGTTTGAGCCTTTGGCCCTAGTAGAAGACGACATCAAGTGAAAGAACTCATGTGAATTTAGATCGACCAGACCGTGAAGAATTTTATAAACCATGTAAAGGTCATTACGTCATGCATCTAGGTTCTGGTAGGTGTAGTGTATTCACTCGCATGGCACCTCGTCCGAACTAACTTCTCCTAAGCATGGAACGTCAACTGAGCAGAAACCCCCTCGACATCATGAGTGCCTTTAAAGGAGGGCAGCTCCACTGCATGTCCTGTGTTTTATCGAGACATTATGGTGAACGGCGGCGAATCCTCATGCAAAAAAATAGCTACGAAATGGACAGGAAACTCCTCAAATTTAAAAAGAGATGAAGAAAGTGCCCAAATAGATGGTAAATTCATTTAGTGTTTCCATGCTTAAACCTTGTGGACTTTTCGGCTACTCTAGAAGCTTATCAACAAAGTATTGACTCTGCTTGATGTTAAACATCATGCAGTCGATTGTTCTGTTGGATGATAAGTTTTCTCTTGCCACAAATTGAAAATACATAGAAGTTGGTCATATTCGAGAACTTTTAGCAAAACAATTTTTTCATTCTTCCTTTCTCCCACACAACACGAATGAGTGGTTCAGTGGAGAAGGTTTGCCCTCAAAACATATTCAGGTTTGAAATGGTTTGATGCAGCAGAAAAAAGTTATCAACGAAAAAGGGTTTCACGGAAGACTTTTGAGTGCTACTGTATCTATTGCCAAAATCCAAATATACGTAAGATATAAAACTTTAACATGATGAAATATCAAATAAAAATAAGATAAAATAATACAAACATAATAAGTTATAAAATGTGCATATCTCACCCGTTCGACTTACTTGTCTCTTTCTTCATACACCCTTTCGTTTTTTTTTACGGTTCTCCTTCCTTCGTGCTAACCTGGGGCAAATTCATTCTTACTTTTATGTTGTTCGAGAGAAGACCAAAATTCTTGAGCAAACGATCCCAGTGAATGGATCTAGGGCAAGACCAAAGTATAAATATAAAGGCCCACATATAAAAAATCATGAAACCTTCGTGAGAGTTATAACTTACACGACTTCCGTGGGACGCTTCGAGGTGTTTAGCCAACAGTGCTTTGGTCCTCAGTGGAATTTTACATTCCGAACACTGAAACACCTAATATACTGTCGAACACTCCAAAACACAGAAGTAATGCTTTTAGTTAAACGTGATCAACTAAATTAGGAAAAGATATAATAGTTCGAAGAATGAGGTATCAACTAGTGCCAACAAGAAATTTCCAAACCCGAATAACACATCCCTCTGGCAAACATTAGCACTAAACCAATAAAGTCCAAAAAGGTGTTTATCACTCGCATCGCAAAGCGAAAAATTGGTTGTAATTGAGATCTGTCACATACAGCCTTCATGAAGGCGCTTTTTGATCAAAAGGACATGCGCGGTGACACACAGGAGAGTCGTTTTACGATGATTCCAGCTTTTTCGCTGCACCTTCTTCAACGGGTGGTTGACTAGCGATTGCTTCCAGGTTTACTACAGAAAATCCAGCCGTATTGGGTGATCATTTCTCAAGTATCATGTTCTCGAAGACTATTAGCCCTTTCACACATTCACGCCAATGGCCGCCCATATGAGCTGCTAACAACGTGCGCTCCTGGGACGATGGCAGCCCATATGGGCTGCCAACTGATAATCGCTTGCAAGGTGCTAGGAATGGACAGATAGATGGGCAAACTTCGTAATCGAGCGTAAAATGCTTTTGAATTGCTTCATGGGGGAAGTGAATGAATGCTACCTTTTCGCAACCACTACTTGTCGTTCTGATCAAATTCTTAGTGTTATATGTTCTGATAATCTTTACGCATTGGACATTGCAAAAATTATTTTGTGACATTCATGTTTTTGTCCATTTACAAAACAAAATCTGCGGTTATGTGGCGAGGCGGCGGCGCCCACAAAATCGCGTCCGTCCCACGCGACCGAAATGTTAAAAAGGGGCGTCGTCGTGAACGTGCTAAGCAGAAAACTCAAATGGCTTTTTGACCGTACAAGACGATGGATTTAACGCGTCCGACGTAGGCTTCTCCACGATTTTTCTTTACTTAGGGACGGGGATCTCAAAGAAGGAAAAGTGTTTCCACATATGATATTTGTCCAGGTAATCAAGGCATATATGACCATTCTGCGGGCCAATACGTTTTCAGCTATGCGAAGATTTTTTTCATAGAATAAATACCAAAAACTAAAAATTAATTCGCGCGTGCACGGAAGAAATGTATGTAAAGGGTGTAAGACGCATTGTATTCCAACATACTGACGTCCTAGAGAAACAGATACCAACTTAAGACTAGAGCGATCATAATTACGGAATCTTTCGAGGACTAAGAATAATCACACGCTTGGCTAGAAACGTGAATTTTGGGGATAATTTGCTGCCTGACTCCCACAACACTTTTTGGTGCTTCGCAACTGCGCTACGGGCACCACAAGGAGTCATGGGCGTTAATGCCCAGACTTACCAGAAGCTGTTTACGAATAATTTATAAATGAAACAACATCAGCTTGCGAAGTGACATGGTTGGAAATCTGAGCCATGATGCCACAAAATGCAAAGCAGGACACTCGCCAAGGATTCGATCCCACGACCTCCTATCTGTGAGCTAACCACAACCACGACACTACATGACTCCATAAATCTGTGCAGAAAATTGTGGGACAGATTGCAAGAGCAGATTTTTAGATAACCATCCAAGGCTCCCTATTTTGCAACTTCCTCAGTGAGCACACTTCAGTCAACCGCCTTACCTGAAACATTTTATTCCTAGTATGTTTTTCGAGATCATGGGTGTATTGGTGCAATGTGAACTCTGAAGCTTTTCGAAAAGACCGGTCGCACTGATTGCACTTCATAGACTCCTGAAACTGAAACATCCTTACAGAAAACAATAGATATGAATTAGGTCGATCAAACAGTTTCTGAATCTTGAGCGGCTAAGACTAGAACATTCCCACATTGCTGAACCACAATCTATCGTGAAATAAACACCATATTGCTGCCAATCATTTCCATGCAAATGTATTCCATTCTGATAGAAACTCAAATTAGTGTAAGTCAAAAGCGATCGTAAGGTGATTTCGACTATTCTCATTCTCAAATTCTCCTGCAAGAATTGCATTGAAAAGTGGACAACTGTTAGTTCGTCAGAGATGATGAGATGGCTTCAATAAGTAAATGAAGGCTTCAATAAAGGCTTCTATACTAAGAAGAGATCGTGACTCAGTGAAAGGTACATCACTGATTGATTCCTTCCGGAGCAACATAAAGTTTGATTCAGTTGTCGGTGACTAATTTTTGTCTTCTGGAGATCCCAATTTACTAAGTTGTAACCCAGGCAGTTCCAAATAATATCAGAGATTGAGTGTATTCCATAGAGCAGGCAATTGTCTTTCGAATGGTACATAACATTATTTGCAAGCATGGGATACTAGTGGAAAAATTTTCGCTTGAAAAACAAACAACGACACTAATTATCGAACAACCTGATAATGGTCGATGCTGGAATGTTATACGGAAAGGGTATCTGTGACGGTGTGTTCCTTAACACATTGGCGACCAAGCAGTTTTTAGGTGTTCCCGAAAATTGCGTGCTAATGCTGAAACGCTCCCATACGGGGTACATACCAAATCAATGAGAACACTATGCGGAAACTGCTGAAACATCATTTGGTCTTGTACACAATCTTAATGGCTGCAAACCAAGCAAAAATCTCCCCGTCCGCAAGGTGAAACTTCGGAACGCTCTCGGAAATTCCAATTTTCCACTGTAGAATCCACAAATGAGGTTGAACACGAATCTCTTTTTTGCAATTGTTGTATCATCGCGCTAGCTAAAAGCATACAAAAGGGCAGCTTTCTACATTAAGAAGAACAACTTTATCACTGAAGAAGCAATTCCAGCCAACCCTTCTCTAAAACTTTCACTGTGAAAGATATTCAAAGAACATGGCCATTACAAGTTTGACAACGTATTTCGGGTTAATATAGCACTGCTCAAAATTTGGAATATGCGCAAAGGAATAAAATTCAAGGGGTGTCGACCGGCATCGGGCGACATTGTCGCCAATGTGTTAATAATGTTGCACAGCGGATACCTGCCTCAGGATAACATGATTTTTGATTTTTTTTGAAACCGGTCTCTTTCGTGTCTAGTTTATTTGATCTGCGAGACTCACTGCGCTGCCGCCATAAAAAAAACATACGCTGCAGTGCTAAGTGTCTTGTAACTTAGAATATGTGCCTTACAGTGAGGCTACTATGAATATTAACATGATTTACCTCTCGGGAAGAATATGAATATATCGACGAAGCCGGCTGCTGCGCGACATAATTGGGTTGCTCCTGCTGGGAGTGATGAGAATCGGATGTGGAAGACGATGTCAAAACTACAGAGACAGCTATGGAGGTAAACACTGTTGAAGGTGTTGCTGAAAAGAATATTTAAGAAGCAAAAGTATGGTGTCCATCGATACTAACAGTAAGCACTGAAATAAAACACCGCATGCGGCAATTTTGGCTCTCTCACCATGTAGGAATAAGCGCCAGCCATTACTAGATTTCTCCTAAGTAAGGCCTCGCCCAGTTGCTCAAGCAAACCAAGCGATTGAGAATGGTAACAAGTGTTTGTTTGAGTATTCAACAAATTCCCTCGTTACATAATGCTTTCCTTGTAAAGTACCGGTGAAATGTTGAGCAGCGGTAAAAATTTGGTCGTAAATAACGTTGATGCTCCCCGAATAACTACCCTGACCGCTTCCGGTCGAGATGGCGAGCAATGTTTCTAAGAAAAAGACGTCTTTGCTTTCTCTCCCCTTCGGAAATCATATTGACGCCACATTGTGGAACGAAAAACTTTACGACTGGGAATAGTTCAATATATAAAACTTGTAAGACCATCCAAAAGGACAACACGGGCCTCAAAATGGAGTGCTGGTCCTCCTCACGAAAAGTGACGTATTGCAGCTTTACGGTGTGAGGAGAACTGAGAATTAGCCGTATGCGGCAACCGTTAAAGCTGAGTATTATGAGTATTAAGCTGTAGAGCAACGTCAGAAACAAGTGGCTCGTTCTCATAAGACGATTTAGCGCTTACAAAGCTCTTCCTTGGCGTCTTCTTTGGTTGGACTTGTAGCCGACGGTGGAGCAGAGCTACAGTTCCGCACTCGTTCAGCGTCAGGCCACCTATTTTCGACTTCTTCGTCGACAAGCATCCACCGTGACGGTGGTGTGTGCGCCGTACGCTCGAAGAGAATGACTTCTGAAAGTACTCATATCTTCATATAGCTTTGAAGCTGTTAAAGTGAAGGTAGGAAACTTCAAAACTAACCCTGTCCAAACTTCCTATACGCATTACCAGAGGACTCTTGCGATAGAGGCAAATGTTCATCAGCTTCATCATCGGAACTGCTACAAAGCATTTTAACAACGATATCAAAGCTAAACAGTCGAAGAAATCAAAACTTACGATCTATTCAACAGCGAGTCCATTTCATCATACGGGTATCCCTGTTCATTCATATCGTCATCATCGTCACATGGGCTAGCTATCACGAGTCCGTCTTCATTTTCGCTATCGTTTCCAGAACCTGGATGTAGGTGAAAATAAAAAAACGGAAAATGGAAATCAACCTTAAACATACCTTGCACCAAACGTCTCCGATGAGTTTTGGAGTTGAGATGTTTCGTCCAGTTTCCCTTAGTTTTGAATGAAAAATTACACTCCTTGCACTTGTATGGGCGAATGTCCGTATGAGATCTGCAGAAGTGAGCAGTTCATGTGACAAAACGATCAATTCAAGAGTCAATAAGCAAGATAAAACTGAAGAGACCCCCTCTGAAGAAAGCACTACATTCGCCATGTATTCGTCATCCCTTGACTTCTACGCGGAACAAGAAGTTTAGTATTCTCAGGATTAGGTCGGTTACCATTTCACTAGGATTCTTATAGCGCTCCAATGATGAGAAGCCTCAATATATTAACTCAAAGCAAGCATGAGCATGCGTACAGTAGGCAAGAGGGTTTTAACATAAAGATTTCCTATCCATAAACTCATTTAGGTTTCTGCGGGAATGCTAATGGAAGCACACGTCTCTCCAAAGAGTCCGAATGATTTGGGTCTGCTACAGAGCAACAGAGCATCCAGATGGCATCGCGACATCTCAATAGCACACCTGAGCTTTTCCACAATATTTTACTGCTTACCGCCAGCGAAGATCTGCCATACAATAATTCCCCAATGTTGTCTATAGGATTTAGATCCGAGCTGCGTCAGGCCAATCCAATGCATTGAGTTCGTTGACGCTAAGCACCTGTTTAGCGCATCGGCTGCCGGGCGTAGGTATGGTCATGATTGAAGACGAAGTTCTACTGGAGACCTTCACTTAGGAATGAGAGTAAATGACCAGCAAGAACCTCCTCATACTCGCTGGTGTCTGCTCTATTCGATACATGAGCCAGAAAGGGTACAGTAAGTTGCACAATGGAACCCACATCTTCCATCATCGAAGTTCCTCCAGCTGAAGACCAGGGGATCTTTCCTAGGACACCTTCACCAACTGTTAGATCCATACAGCCCATATCATTCCTATCGGAAACGTTCACGCAACTCAAGAAAAAAGTCAGCTGAATGAGTGTGCCTCCCCATCATATAGTACCACCTGTTGACCCCACTCGGCTCTCATGTTCCTCCGAGCTGGTTCGGGGCGAGTTGTCGTGGAGCTCACCCCATCAAGCAACCTTTACCATGACCTTGCGCGCAATACTTGACGATGGTAGTTCTCAAGATGGTAGCTCTTGACAAAGGAAGCAAAAGCTTATGACGGATCTGTTTGACTGATGCGGTAAAGCTGGGACGCGATTACTGGACATGCTCTATTTCGTACTCGTAATAATACTTGTGGCCTTCCAAAGACGCTAACATTTCCATAAAAATCCGGATTTCTCACAAAGTTTTCAACACAGCCAATAGATTGGCCACATTGACCAGCTGTTAAACATTTGACCTTCGCACGATCTTATTCCTGGTTAGAACGCTTAAGCCGTTTCCATATGCTGGAGAAGTGATGTACTTCCAGTAAGCATGGACATACAATCACAAATATGCGGAAGGGAGGAGAAAAAAGCTGGTGAACTCCTCTTTCCCAAGGTGCCTTCTTACGTGAAACAGAGATCGTTTCCGAATTTTCTCATGAAGACGTTTAGATCATACTTCCCTGAAACAAGGGCACCGTGTTCCAGTGCATGATGAATCCAGCAAAGCAGGCAGCGAACATTGGATCTTTTATCCTGACTAGGAAAGGCTGTTTTCAGCGATGCCCCTACACTTTTGGAACCTGTAGCGATACAAATAGCACAAGATTTTGTCATGCCTAAGACAGCCCTCTCTGAAGTAACGTAATCAACCAGTCTCAATAAAAATTTTTTTCAAAATCCTGTAACTGGTGCAACAAATAAACTCCAGTTCGCGTTCCGTGTTCCTTCTCGTACGAATGCCCCCAAGGTTTCTTTTTGTGACAATTGCTGAGCAGAAATACTTCGCTTACGCACTTGATATGCTTGTTCAGCATACTGGGTTTCTTGCATCGAATACCACATCTATCACACACGTATCTTCCTCGACCTCGTCCGCGGACGTAAACATAGACCTAAAGCATTGCACATTCTTTTGACTGGATCATCTTAACTATTTTTGGTTTTTTATAGATTCTCTGCTTAAATCATTCGAAATGATACAAACAGATTTCTAATGAGACCCCTTACTCTTGTTCAAGAACGATGCTAGCTTAAGATCATGAAGGTTAACGGTTCCGAAGTCGTCAACTGATCCTCAACTTTATTGGAATGCGGGATAGAGCCTAATATGGAAATAAAGCGGATTGAGTACCATATTATAATATATTCAAATGGTTGGCGATGGAGCCAAGACAGCGAACGTGCGCTTGAATGAAAAATAAACAGGAAGAAGTACTCAGTGCACGGCATTTGACCTTCGCACCTCCTTTTCGTTTCTGACCTTCTCTTTTCCATAAACATTTCATAGTTACCTTCCCTTCTAAAACTGAATACAGGCGGTTGGAACTCTCAGATGCCGATGTAAGCCATTGCCAGACGTAACACTGCTCGGCACAATGCACCCACCATTTATCACCGCTGCCTTCACTGAATGGTTGAAAAAGGAGCGATAGACGATGGGAACAAAGAGGAATCAGTGAAGTCAGCTGCACCCACTCGGCGCATTTGAAATCCAAAAAATCGAATCCTTAGATCGACCTTACCCAGGGTGGAGTTTGCGATTGGAGGGCAGCCCAGTAGAATTACGGTAGAAGTGGTCAGTGGTGTTGGGATGAGGGAAAAATCATAAGAGAGGCTCTCAACCCGAAAAATGGACCTCCTCATGGCCCGTTGATTTCCGCACTAATGCGACTATCATCGGCGCTGATCTCCTAACGCTCTCTCTACTGAATGACCTGCTGCGAGTGGTTACCCACTCGCAACGAACACTTACAACACATCCAAGAAGGTGAAACTTACCCAGTGGAAAAACAGACGAACCTCTCCCTGTAGACCGCCACCTAATTTGCATCGAAAGGTGTACCCCTGGCGACCAAGAATGGTCCCCCACGGCATTATCGGCGCGGCACGCTCACCGAGTGACTAACCACACGCCGCAGGTCTCTGGTCATTCAGCGGGTGCCTGGCAATTTTCCTCTTCAGGTCAGGTCATCTGAAATTAGAACACCTCTGATTTGCTCCTAAGGTGCCCACGACTAAGCCTAAGCCCAATAATAGGCTTAAGCACAAACCAATGTATACCATAAGCTAAACCTAAATAAGCCTACGCCTAACCTTTGGCTTCAATGATCGCCAGTAATTCGGAGGTTTCCCCTGCAAGTCTACCTGAGTAGCCCTGAAGGTAACCACGCCGCGACTGCTCCGCAAGGGTTGGTGTTGATGTACCTTTCGAATAAGCGCGGATCTGAGGTTTAGGCAGGGGCACTTACAAAGCAATTAGCTCGGCAATAGACACTCATATGACGTATCATAGCAAATACGCTTGAAAGCTATGAATAGCATCGTTATGCACTTAATTTCAAGAAAAGTTTCACAAGTATGCTGGGGTGTGAACAAAACTTACGCCCCAGGCGGGAATAGAACTCGCACCTCTTACCTCGAACTCAGAAACCTCAACGCAAACAGTTCAAAAAAAGTCGTAAAACATATTATGATAGAAGAAAGAGTGACAGATACCCTGTTATTTTTTTAATTCAAACCCCTGCTCTTACTTAAATCGTGTAACTTAGTACAAGATTAGGTGCATACTACACACAGTATCATAATTTTACAGTGACGGTCCATCCAAAAAACTGTTATGTAAACTACAAAGATGATTACACATTAAAAATTCTCAATGCTGAGAGTGAAGAAAATAAATCTGTTATGCAAAATCTGCTACAAAATGTTTTGGTACAGGGTGGGGCTTCGACAATCTCTGTTGATCACAAGGCGCTCTAGCTTCTTCCTGAAGTGAGCAACGAAACCTTAGATCAATTCTGGCATGTTCGCTTCATGAGGCGAGCGAATCGAAATAGGAGGCTTGCATTAATACTGTCCAGATGGGAAACCCATTTTAGTTTGATGAGCAGAAGAAAGCATTGCATTCGACATCATACAGTTAGCAATTGTGAAATGGCAGAATGGTCCTCATCTAAGACACTACATAGGATCTCATTAAGCGTGCTATGGCGCCTTGACTAAGGCGACAAGGAAAGACACAGCAAGGCGTTCACGATGATAACGTCATCTGTGATAGAATGTCCGTGCGTGGAAATCAACAAGCAAAAATAAGTGTTATGTTATTTGTTTTGTTATTGTTATTTCAGGTTACCCTTGGGTCTTCGCTATTACCCTTAATTCTTCTTCACCACTGTACCATTGATCACCTCAACTGATTCTTAACGGCAACCAATGCGATATTTGCCTTTAACCATATGAAGCAACTCACTGACAATCATTAAATTAAGCCCACCTCATCTGTCCGATAACCTCCAATAACAGGATCTTGCTTCCTGATTGGCTTCCACAACCTTGTTTCATCAGCAGTAGGTATAAAGTTCGCAGCAGCGATTGCTTCGGTTCCGGATGAGCTATCAAGGCGATATAATCAGAAGAAAATCGGTGACAAACGAGGGAAAAGCTTACAATTCTTCACTGAATTCGGTTGTAACCGAGTCCTTACTTCTCACTTTAGTAGGAAGACCAATATCATTTGCCTGAAAAATGAACGTCACAGATTGTCACATTGACGCACACTCGCGATTCAGCCTTCCCGGTTTCATGTGATGTGAAATGTGAAAAGTAAGGTAAAACACTACGATATCTGACCTCATCAACCACCGGCCTTGTATCTTGCTCATTTGTGTCAAAAGAATGAAGGGCATCTTGCTCTCTGCTTGCGTTCTGCGTTTGATCTGTTTGCCGTTTCATCTAGAAAAAATCGAACGTGAGAGTGTTTCAGGAATAATCTTGATCTCGAAAGCCGGTATTACAGTTACCTTATTTCGATACTCCCAAAAAGAAGAGTGTGTCATTTTGTACTGGCCATGGTCACGATTTGCAACGCTATAACGCCAAAAAGGCTTCACTCCAGTTCGCGGCCTCGTGGAGCACATACCCATATACAACAAGTTGAGCTTGGATTCCGTCTCGTTTATGCTTACCTTAATATTTTGAGAACGTCAATTATAACTGGCGTCACTACATATAATTTCGAATGTATATCGCACGACCTTCCACATACCTGATGCCAGTTGCTGTACATCGACAAATTCCCCTTCTGTTCAACAAACATGGGCTGAGCGCGGTGCATACATACAAACGTTTCACTTGTGATATTTCTCCCACGTGACCTTAAAATCACAAGTTAGCAATACACATCTAACTGGACACAAGATCGATATAGTTCAAACGTTTTCCGGAGCTAGTCGAACTGCCATAAGAAAACTGACCTTCGAACAGTAGCAACATCACTTGAAGATGGTACTTTACAAGAATGCGTCAAAACCAAGGTATATGGTTTTTCAGTATTGCCATCAAGCATGTGACCCTCAATACTGAATGGATTCTCCTACAAAAAAATCTACATAGAGTCTATACGAAGAGGTGACATAAAACATCAATGATACCTCTTTTCTCGGAAGCTGATTCACACTTGTTGGACCAGGCAAATAATTTGTACAAGGCGGAGATGCTAAAATGGACGAGCTTCCAGCTATCTGAAGGGCATACAACGGTGCAGAAGCGTGAACTTGTTGCATCATAGAGGAAACCACAATTGGAGCAGCCACGCAATGAGCTCGTTGTTGATTCAAACCAATCGACACAGCCGTGATCCTAAATCAGCAATTACCTCACACTGGTACCAACTTGCTACAAAAATGCCTTTTTAGAAGGAAAAGCTCAGGCGGCGCAGTAGAGTATTCATAAGAGATGAACTTGTTCATAACTTTTTCACAATGACATATTTTAACTAAGAAGATTTTGCATAGCAATCCTGCACGCTTTACATCATTACAAGCCAAGCCCCTGGAACCTGACAGAGTTGTTTACCATTTGCGACGCGACAGCGCCCTTTTTAGTTTAGTGCGGAACGCGCTATTTTGCAGCTGCCTCACCTCACATCCGTGGAGTGTAGTACTAAACAAAAACATAAATAGTGCAAAATAACCTAGCAATCTATAGGAAGTTAATTTTGATAGTAGAATTACACAAAAAAACTACGACAAACGGCTGGTAGGTTAGTATTAGTTAGGAGCCCATATGGGCTACCACCGTCGTGAGTTTGTTGAAAGTCGCACATGGTTCGCAAGCCATGAGAGAGATGGGAAGTAATTTCACCAAACTCGGTGTTACAGAAAAAAAACTTCCTACTTGATCTCTCGTAGCAATGAAACTGAGTTCGGAGAACTCATGCCATAGTATAACAATAATATTCAACCTAACCACAATATAGCAATCGTATTGCAACCTACCTTCGACAAGGACCATCGCGGTCAACACCCATTTCGACTATAGCCTCTTTCATGTCCGCTTTTGGTGTTTTTTCTTCGTCTATAACAACTACCTCACTTGATTCCTGGAAAAAAGAGAATTAGTCAGAGTCGTGACAGTAAGCATATTTATCATTATACTTACCGGTCTAGAAACTTTCGTAGGGCTCTGTTGCTCATAAGCCACAGCAGCCAATAATCTTTTCTTGAGAGGATGTCTGCTGTAGGCATCACTCTCGGAATTTTTCGTTACAGTTTGCAGCGTGAGTGAAGAGTCGACTTTTAACTAAATGAAGCGCACTGAGAATTCCAATTCTTTTAAACTAATATTTTAAAATCTCCAACCTTCTCAACTTCAGCAGGTATTGCTTCGACCTTCCTACTACATCGAAACTCATGCACTTGCAGTCCAGCTTCATTAGGGAAACTGAAGAAACTAATGCTTGGTCAAAAGAATGTCCACCCAATAACATCCATTTCTTACGTCAAAAGGCAGAACGAGCACGTCGGTAAAAGATCCTGTTTGATATTTCTGCTTATTGGCAAGCCCGACGTTAAACTACCACCAAATGCCGATTTTGCATTCTGAAAGAAATCTGAACATATGAAAGGGGTGAAAGGGTAAGATGAATTTCCGAGGTTTCGTTGGAAATGTGCTGGAATTTCCGAGGTTTCGTTGGAAATGTGCTTTCAGTAAGCTGAATGAAGGGGTAATAGAGGAGTAGGGTTCACTCGAAAAAGAAACGTACTGTGAGAGTTTCATAGTGTGACTGACTGCGACTGCTGGACTGCAACACTCGATGATTTCGCATTCCAGGGGAGGTCCTGATGGCGCCTGAAAAAGTTTCACGTTAGGAATAGAAACGTTAACAAACCATTGGTTCATTCATACCATGATAAATTCCAATCACCGCCCTCTAATACATTGCTGTGATATGAAACATTTACTCGTTAATCAAGCTTCAGCTAAGGAATTTGAACTCTTCATGTGCACCCGAGCCGTTCGAAGGAGTGCGAGATCACATAGATGAGGAATTATACCGCTGTTTTGCGGGACAGCTGTGTATCAATAGCTACAATCTTTACGCTGATGTTGTCTGGCGTTGTAGTAGTTGATAGTATTACACGAATTCCGAATACCCTAATTTCCGGTAGATAAGCTCCGTTAATACATAAAAACACCTCCGCTGGTGTAGTGCATTTGCGCTTACCTAGAGACAACCGTAACTTGCCTTTAGGGGTAGTTCGATATGATGATTACGAAAACGAAATTTATTTTAAGCGGTGGTGCCATCTGGCGCCAGTTGGCGTCATCTTGTCACGACCCTTTTTTTTCACCAAAATCGGTGTAAACTTCTGTTCAGGAGTTGGTTGCGGTCCTGATTACAAATATGACATTCGTTTTTGTTACTAGTGCTGTTCAACCCACAGTTCTCGGTTGAAGAGCGCAGACGTGCAGAAAATAGGCGCAAATAGCGACAGCAACCGAGAATGAATGTAGTATTCGTTATCAGGATACCAAATAACCCCTGCACTAAGCTTACATCAAATTTGGTGAAACAGTTGTCATGACAAGGTGACGCCAACTGGTACCATATGGCGCCACAGCTAAAAATGAAAGTCATTCTCGTAATCAGGGCATTGAATCACATCTATAGGCAAATTTACGGTAGTTTTCAAGGTATGCAAAACTACACTGCGCGAGCGAAGGTGTTTTAACGGGCTTATCTACTGAAAATTAGGGTGTTTAATAACCGCTGTTTTTGGCCGCACTTCGCCTTGCGAATGTATCAGAAGAATGCTGGGTAGAGAGGAACATCACTCATACACTGTTCTGGAACGGACTTGGTCTGAGTTATGAAACGAGGAAACGTACAGGTAGTGTCTTACCTGCTAGTTGCCCCCTTTTCCAGAGTTGGCTCAAAATTTACGATTTAGTTATTGGAAAGATTTGGCCTACAACCTCCAAAGGGACCCGTGAGGCAGAAACAAAACCCTTATGTTGATGAAATAATGTCGCTAAAACCCTTTTTTTTTAACAACAAAGCCAGGACAGCAACACCAAACACATCAAGGAACCAAGCCCAAAACCATTCACCTGCAAGATCGGACTGCAACCAACTAACAGAATATTGTGCATTTTTTATAAGGGCGCTTTCACACCATAGTATTATACATTAGCGTTGAAAAGAAAAACTCCATTACGCCGTTCAGAGCATCATTTACCACATATGCGGAGCAGTTCTTGGTTCACCATCTCAAGACAAATGTAAGCATGTACACCTCAGTGTTAACTGAAGGAACCGGAAACCTTTCCTAGTGGATCAATTCAGATGTGAACTAGTTGCGGCGCACCGATTTCGTCATGCGCTTAAGATTTTCGTCAAATTTAGGGTGGGAACCTGCGATCACTTGTAATGAAAGTCGTAATTTACAACAATGTTCAACGTTTCCAACAAAAAAATTAGCCGAAAACTAGGTAGCTTCAAAAAACGGTAATTTTCGATGCACACTTTTTACCCAACCCCTCTGTGACAAACGGATCTCGGTATTATGTCCCTTTTATTATCCTTTTTACGAAGTAGGTATCCATCGATCGGCTACCTCAACTTCAGGACTCCCTGGTTCCACCATCAAGGCCCTGTTTATATTCATGTCACTGCCCTCTCCTCTTCTCTTAGAAGCTCAGTCCGTTCAAGTTTCGTAAAATATATACTTCGTGCCAAATGCATATACATCACCTCGGAAAACGTATGTGTTTCCGCAGCAGAATTGGAAATATGGGAAAAGCAGGAGAATCCCAACATAAAGTTGAAAGCAGCAATAACACACGATTTTGACTTGTTGATGATTGTTAGCTGCTTCTTTTGAGCCAAGTGCGCTACAAGGGCACCGCTTCACAGCCATCGAGTGAGAGGTGAAGACTCGATCCCAATCTTCGAAAATTCCCACGTGAAATGGTGCGAGATCCAGTCTCTAATATTTTTGCAAAAAAAAACTCGAGCACTTGCTGGTGTCTATCTGCTCTCCACACCCACCTTTTTTGTTATGCCAACTATAAACAAACTTTTCAGCGGAGAGAATCGTGTACAACAAAAGAAGAAAAGCGATGTTTTTTTCAGTATGGACCCTTACTCACCGTAATCTCCAGCACTGCCACCGTCATGCTCATTTGAGGACTGCCCAGCAGCTTGTCGATGGTATGGCCTTCGCTTCAGAAGTGTCTGAAAACGTAAAATATCTCTAATCAATTGTTATACAGAATAAAAAGTCACTGCAAAGCAGGTGAAGGTGTTCATGAGAATGGATTCAAACAGCTCTTCTTAGTCAGGGTGCCCAATGAACGTAACCTTTAATTTGCAAAACTTTTGAATGGAAAAATGAGTGCTCTGATTGAAACAATCTATCAAAAATGCTTCTGAAATCCACTCAAGCGAGAATCCACAAAATCTATTTTCCATTGCTTGTACAAGTCCTTTTGGTGAGGATTCCTCTATTATACCCCCAGATAACTTCTAAAATCGTTCTATTTTATAAACCCCAAACATGGTATGCCGGTTTGTACAGTCCATATCTCGAAGTCGGATTGGGCGTATCAACAAAAATGACGCCGCAGCCATCGCACTTGATAGAAGTCGTGTGCATGAGTTGTTTCTAACCTAGCCCACATGATTTCAGCAAAGTATGTGGGAAACAGCTTCCGCGCAACTTCTATCAAATTCACTGCCGGTGAGATGCTCAATCAGACTTCGTGATATAGGCTGTATATCTGTATGTATGTCTGTCTATGCGACCGCAAAATGAAGTGAGGGATAAGGCAGCTCATGGAATAAACTAACGCTAACAGAACCGGGTTGCTCGCAGAGAGCTTTCATGTTTTGTAATAGGACAATTGTGATACGTACCCCTTCGGCTACGTGAACACCAACTGAGCACACTTCCCGTCATTCGAAACGGTACCGCGGCGGCAGCTGGAGGCAGTGGAAGCGGTGGGGGGGAGGAAAGGATGGGGAGGGGAGGCGAAAAACCAATCACCAACAGACCTAAGGTGCCGACATAAAGCCTACACAGGGAATCAAGGTCCCTGCGGTTGACGCAGGACCAATCTGCTTGAACGTAACGGAATAATTTTGCTTTTTTTTCGTGTATTTACCGCTCAAAACCCATGTACTCAGAGGGGTTAACCACACTCGCAAAGTCGTGGCGGTCCCACGCGACCAAAAAGCCGAAACATGCATTGCCGCCAAGATGCTGAAATGTTCTAAGCTAGTTATCGTAACTATAACTGACGAAACTACCAAATGCTCGCCATTTCTGCATCTTTTTTAAAAAGTCTTTCTTTGAACACTTCTTGAAACTATGAGCTTGTGGTCCAGTATACTTTTATTGATATCGAAAAAGAGTTGAAATGATGCACTACTGAAAATCTTTTGTGTAGGTTACACTGTTGTAGTAAGTGTTGCAGCGCATTTTTATGCTCTGATGTTACCGTTTCATCTGCCCTATTGGTAGCTCTAACACTTTCTCGCACCCATTATTCTACAGTCATCTTATCGAACTATCACAGCCCACTTCAAAGGTTGCGCCATAACGAAAGGAGTGCCAATTTGGCCACTAGTTTTCCAATGCCCTTGCTAGGTAACGGCGAACCAGTGTGCATCTCAAAGATATGGCTAGATTGACTTGATAGCCTTTCTTTGCAAACAGATGAAGCATTACAATGAAGGGTGTTCAGAAAAAAAGAGGACCCATAATTTTCTCCATTTCACTGACCCCCTCATTTTAGGCGCACACTAGATGCCTAGCCAAACTGGTGTAGCACATTAGCAATTCAACCAACAATTTAGTATATAACACTAGATGCATTCCTCATCAGCAATTTGATGTAACCCTGCTATGTTGAACAGCAACGAGAAAATATGCCAAATGCGATTCCCATGAGTCACCCACCCACACCCACCTATGACGGCCAGGAAACAAAATACGACCCTTCAAATGTACGACTCAGAGCCCTACAGTGCGGCAGTATCTGGGTGCGATGCTTCTGTTGATAGCATGACTTAACGGGCAAGGTATGTTAACCAAATGTCAAAAAAAAACGTTAGACTGTGGTAATATGTAAGCATATGTTGAAGTAATCTGGGACTTGGACAAAAAACGCAGTACTCGAAGCACCGATATAGTTCTAGTTTTCGCCATACATACTTATCTTAACACATTGACGACAATGAGGCCCCGTTCATAGATGGCGATTAGTGCGATTTGATGATTTGACGATTTAGCGCCTATGGTGAAAGAAATGTATGCGTATCGACTAGAGGATCTTCGACTAATCGTATCGACAAATGGTTATTGGGTGGCTTCAGTTCAATAAATGTCCTTTGAACACAATCGCCAAATCGCCAAGTCGCTTTATCGCGTAACCGGCAAATTTTGGATCAATTACCTATGCTTGCCTTCCAACATTGGCACCATTTCGCTTTAATCGCGATGCATGAACCGGGCCTGCGACGCGGTTGCACCTCTCAATTTCACCCGACTCGGGCTAGTTTTCTTCCGATTCATCTGGCATTTTTCATATTTCAGGACAGTGTGCATGCATTATCCAATCCGAAAAACTGTGCATCAATCACCAGTAGTGAAATTGTTGATAAAGTTTTGATGATTATGAAAAAACAAACAAAAAGGTGCCAACGTACACACATAAGGGGCTGCCATCAATGTGTTAAACAAAAATCAGATTATAACTGAACACTTATGCTCATTCTAGAAAATACGGTGGCGATCACATATTTTACTCGTTTGCCCTCACTTGCCATATCCCTAATAATGTTTACTTACGAAAAACAATACCCATTAATTAACTTCAAAAACAAGCACCTGATTTGGTTGCACGATTGCTTCGTTTTCACTGATGAGTCGCGAGATTTTCTCCTCAACTGATTCTACGTCGGCGTTGTTGCCAGAGCCACCAATGTTCCTAATTGCTCCAGAAAACGTGCCATCATGTGGATGTTGAACATTTTGCGTGCGGCTGCCGCTTGCCACCTGATAGCTCTGTAAAATGTACGATCGAATTTGCATGTGAGGTAATTATAAATAGAGAACTATCGCAACTCCAAGAGAAGAATGGCCATGATGCGTCCTTCAAGACTATAATCAACAGACGTTATACTACGTTATGCGCTCAGTTTTAGATACTACAGTCTATCTTAAGTAGGAGTGAGCATTTCCGATGAAACATACACACAAGCCAAGTAGCGGTTACAACCCAACTCCCGAATTTGCATTTTCCTCCTCTGCAAAGCGAGTGCTTATACCGAAGCCATAGCCAATTTCCCCGCTGTCAGGTAAGACCATCTGTCACTAGCTAACAATTACAGCCCCGCAATTAGATAAAGCAAAAAATTTAGTGGAAACATCGACTTCAGAAGTTATTTAGTGGCTTGATAACGAATGTAGATAGCATACTGGGAGTCCCGTAATTGCTTCAAGAGCACTAAATAACGCCTGCACATAAACTTGTCAAAGAATTTTCCAAAGATCTTGGGGCTGTATCAATATAGTGCCCGCATGGTGCCTACGAAATAAAATTTCGATTTTTGCCCTTATTGCAATTACTTAGCCTCGAAATCGAGGGTGTGAAAGATTGTAGCGAGGTGCAGCAATTGCAAACTATTGAACGGGTTATATTGTTGGCCGCTGGAGCCTATGGGGGAAGGGGGGGGGGTGCACTTCATCTCATTCTTTGTCCCTGCGCAGTGCCCAGGTTTCTCATCCCTCACACCTTCTAGAGAGCTTCAAAAGAGTACAAGTGAGGAAGCGCACAAATTTAGAATGGTGCGGCGCAGTCGCCAAACAGTAGACAAGCTTTATGGCAAGTTCAGAGAAAGAGAGTTTTGTCTCAAGGTCGGAAATTTGGTCATGCTCAATGTGAAGGAAAACGAGGAGTATAACTGAAGGATATAGAAAGAGCCCTCGTTGTTCGTTTCGCCTCCACTCAGACGTAAGTCAGGCTTGACGGTGACGGAATTAAATGCAATTTCCTAGCCATCTCCTCGAGAATAAACCTGCCCCAGTATACGAAGAAAGATACCCAGTGGCACTTGCCTAGACGACGCACACGACATAAAATCACTATACCTCCTCTATCAGGAGTAGCCCATAGAGTTCCGACTCCCACTGGCTAGGTTTCTTGGTGCTTGTTGAACCGGTAGTAGGAACACAACGTGATGTGAAATGTGCCCCACGGGAAGAATTCTGGGCTCTGTGTAAATATTTTGGCAGACATACTGTAAGTTTTCCGAAACAAGCTGCAAGTGCTCTGCTAGCATGCGTGACGGTGGTAAGTTAGTCTCTCATAGCTTCTATTGCTTCATTTCGGCCATAAGGGTCATCTGATGCCGTCATCAAGATATGGCATTCATTTTTGGCGCCTTCGCTGTTCAACGCCACCACTATTTCACCGCTTTCCGGAATTTCCCCAAGTTGCAGATGATATTAAAGGTTATGATCATGAGCATGACATCTATTAGCGCTGGCAGTATTTGGCTCCAATATAGAGCCGCCAATTCAAAAATGCAAAAAATGCTTACTGTAGAGAGTCAAACCACCCGCTCTCCTCTGCCGTGTACACGAAAACGGCGGTGATGACTACCTCCCCCCCCCAGAAATACGTCCCAATTCCCTTGTCGACTTGCCAATGTTTCCCTTTTTTCGCAATGGCGATCTAGGATGAAATCAAGCGCGCTACGACTAATTCTCCAACGTTCTACCTGCTACTACGATCTACTTGAGCGACCGATGAGCTTTTTGCGCGCACTAGCAGCACGCACACAGTGGCCGATGTCAGAGTCTGCGATTGGAGCGATCGGTCATGATGGGACTCATGTCAATCGCGCGACCGTCGCGCTGATTCGCGCGGACCGATCGCGCGATTGGCATTTGACCGATCGCTCCAATCGCAGACTCTGACATCGGCCACTAGCACTGCTAACAAAAACGTTGTTATAGCTTAAAAGTCGAAAGAGCAAAAATCAGAAGAAAAAATTCAAGAGTATCCCGGGTTTGTGTGTGGATGATTTCTCATGCGAAATTTACAGAGAGAAAAATGCTGTGGTTCAACGAGTGCAGTGCATTTGCAACAACTGACCACCAGAGCCTGTTCAGGATCTTCGGAAAGAATATTGTAGGCGACACCATGCTGTTGTTGCTCATTCAAATAGGCATTCATCAGTCGCTCCTGTGCATTCAACTGCGAATCAACGTTACCCGATGGTCCTGGAATAAGAGATACGTAATGGAATAACCAATGTGAGACTAGTAAAACACCAGCTCCACACGACGTATTTGGTGCTAAAAGTCATTTGAAAAGAAGACGTATGCAACTACACATTGCAGACCGTTACCGAACCAAATATCAGGCCATCGGAAAATATTCGTGAGATTTCACCAGGAAAACCTCTCAGGGCGTGAAACACATTACCAAAACTGTTGCTTTTATGGGGCACTCACGAGGAGCATAGAAAAGAGAATGATTTTTTTTCTGAACGGTTCTGGGAACAAAAAAACATGTGGAAACATTAGCTCGTACTTTTCCTCCATGAATTCAAAATTTTGCATTTCTCTGATCTCCACTTTTCTGCGCTTATATACACTGCCAGGCATAATGATACTTCCACCGACAAATTTCTCAAAAGCAGGATCTGAAGACGTTTTCGAGGTGCGTTGCAGTTCTCCTAGGTCAGGTCACTTCAAATTTGAACAGCTCTAAGTTGTTCAAGCCTAACTCTAGGCCAAGCATAGACGAATGTGCGAGGATAAGTCCGAGCCTGAGCCTAAGCCTAAGCCTAACCTTGGGCTTAATGATCGCGCACCTCCGGTACCCTGACCTGAGGAGGAAAACCGAACGTTGTTTTCGAACAAGGCTTTTTAGGGAATGTGATACACATGAATAGTTCTGAATATCAACACAAAATACAATTTGAGAAAGCAATAATTTTTTAATTTTCTTTATTTTGGGAACATTAACTCTGCTTATCCCGCAAAATCATACTTTTACCACATGTTTCTCCGCTGCATTTTATTTCTAAATCCAATAATGAAATCATTATCCTACAAGTTCCTCTGGTTATGCGAAACAAAACCGTTGTCAGACGCCTATCAGGGGAAGCTCCAAAAGAGGCGCATGAACTGTCGAAGTTCACTCCACGCTGGAATATGGTCGGGGTACCTCTCGTATAATTGTCAATTACATATATTCCTATGCGTTATAGCCAAAGCATCGGCGAGGGGGCAGCGGGTCAGAGAGCAGGCAACGTCGCGAACGCTGCGGGTACGGTCTTGCTACGCACCCTTCGCCAACGAAAGCGCTCCACCCTGCACGTTAAAGAGTCTGCCTTACTTTTCTTGTAGGTAAAGTTTCACTTCTTCCACCTGCAATATACAAGCTGCGCCAAAATTATAGCGACAACGCATGCGCATACAATTTGAACCACCCGTGCTGTTTTCCTCTGTGCTTATTGGTTTTGTTGTGCTGACCCATCGTTTACCCATCGAGATATGCAACTGATACGATGAATGAGTGATACTACCGTCCTTCCTAACCAGCGAAGTTCGAATTCGAGAGTTTTCGGTACGAGAAACCCACCAAAGTTTTGGTGTACATCGGGGTACCATTCATATATTCACTAAACGCAACAACGATTAAGGGTATACGATCCGTCTGGATGAGGAGTGACTGTGTGACGACACGAGCTATGTCAGCATGATGTGCGATGGAATTTAAGGGCACTTGGCCCGCTCAGTTCGCTGAATGTGACGAGATATTGACATAAAAGAGGTGGTTTTGGACTAGCTGAACAGCAAATTGCCGTCCAGATTTTGAAAACTGCTGCTAGTCCTCCAGCAGGAAAAAGCTCCCACTTTCAAGGCAGAAGTAGTGCAAAAACTGTGCAGGGCCAATGAGTCCACTCCATCGGCTTCAAGGAGTGGTAGGCCAGCAATTCCGATTTGCAATCAATGGACTACATCGTAGGAGCGATTTTGTAAGCTAAGGCTTGCATCGAACTTCACATTTTTGGAGATTCATCTGAAAAATCGTTCCAAAACGCGTAGAACGAGTCCTAACCGTACTGCATGTCACAGTCGATGATCATTCAATGTTTCTCAAGGCCTATGTATCACGATTATCAGTAAACTTTATTGCATTTTTGGTTTCTAAGAATAGCGGAATGTTCAATCTAGGCGACTCGAAAAATTTTGACACACCCTGTTGGTGGATTTCTTTTCCAAATGAGTTGTTTCTCCCAACAGGGCACTCTTCCCCCGACGAAAGCGCCTCGCCCTGTACTCCTAGATGCATGTCAGACTCGGCGATTGTGCGTGCATTCGCTATCGCGAAGTGCAAGAGCGACTGGAGACTGGCTTCCCGCAACTGATAAGGCCCGCCGGTAGGGGTCTACAACGTGATTTTGTCGAAATCCCGGCAGATCGCATCGATCGTAGGTGCGGCCGTCGCCAGTCGCTCTTGCACTTTGTGATAGCAATTGCAAAATCGCCAAGTCTAAAATCCATTTTGAGGAGCCCTTTCTTTTTAGTGGGTACATCTCCACTTTTCGATCTCCACTCTGTGATGGACTTCTCCTTCGAATGTGTTGTTCTCAGCTACGGGCGCAGCCTTCGCCGACAAAAGTCCCTCGCCCTGCAACCTCAGGGAGCCTGCATTATTTCTAATAGGTACACTTTCACGTCGATCTCCGGCTCATGGTGGAATTCTCCCAGTAGGAAAAAAATATAAAGACACAGACATGGCATCAAAAGCGAGAAGAAATAAAAGAAAATCATTTCAGGAGCTGTGTGTCACATGTGGTGCATATGGCACACATGTGTCATTTTTAAAACCATACCTGGCACAGGGGACTGAAACTGAGCATGTTGAAGTAGAGCCGTCTGGGTTTGAGAGAGCGGCCGCTGTACAAGTTGTTGCAATACATTCTGCTGCTGTTGCTGTTGCAATATGTGCTGGTAGTAAAGGGCAATGGCTGGATTCATGATAGCATTCACGCTATTGAGGTTCTGGCCACCCTAGAAACAGTGCCGATTTGCGAACAAACTTACGGTATAAAAGATATATAAAAGATACCTGCAGATGTGGAAGCAGTTGACTCAATGCAAACTGATCCTGTAAAACCGAAAGCAGTGGCACCCCTTGAGCTTCCACGCTAGCCGATGACCCGCTACTAGTCATTTGATTCATAACAGCAAGAGGACTTGATCCGCCCAGTAACGCCGAAGCGAGGAGATGGCTCACCTTGAAAATAACCGAATGATACGCTGCAGTGAACACTTTACATATTCCTAAAATAAACAACAAAATGTACCAGCTGTGACGAAGGAGATTGTGCACATCCCATTGCAGCCGGTTGTTGCTGTTGTTGTTGTTGCTGCTGTTGCTGCAGGAGTAACGAGTCCTAAACGAAAGAATAAAACCAAATTCATCGATGATGTTCCCTCGTGCCGGAACGAAGAAAAAAACAGATACACCTCAAGCCGAGAAACGTGAGATGTCGGTCAGACTCTGCGTTGCATCGCGCGATGCAGTCACTTGCCTATAGCGCTTGGCATCGCTCCAAAGTGGCAGCGACGAGAGATTTACCCGAGCGGCGCCGTGTGTATCGGTCGTCGGCGGTAAATCTCCGTCGCTCGCACTTTGGCGCGATGCCAATCGCTCTAGGCAGAGCGACTGCATCGCGCGATGCAATCGCAGAGTCAACCGACATCTGATCCTGATTTGCCCTTTGATGTCCCACTTGATGCGATTTCCATGGTGCCTCTCTTCAGCGCTAACGATCTCTCTACTGAATGGCTAGAGACCCGGCGATATTGTCCAGTCGATGCATACCGCTTCGATAGACGGGGATTGCCATGCAGATCGCCGGGGGCAATCCTTCGCTACGAATTGCTTGTCGGTCCGCACCGTTAAGGGGTCCGCCTGTATTACCACTAGGTAAGTTCCCTTCTTCGACCTTAAACCTTATCGTGAAGTTCTCCCTTAACCTGCAGGGAGACCTGCAGGTATGGGCAATCGGCATAAGCAACGAACAAGCGAATTCGCCCTGGCCGTAACGATTTTGCTCTTGTTGGTGCTACTTCTTAGTGTAATCATAAAATAACTCAATTACTCGAGGCTTTGACTATCAGTTGTTCAGATATCCATGTATCACCACAAAGTGACACTCTGTCGGGACAAGTGCGCCCATTTGAATAGCAAGCTGTTCTTGGAAAGAAACCACGTAACGTTGACTACATAGCAAAGCGTCACACGCTATGACGATCGTCTGCCTTGAATATTGAAGGCAAAAATCACGACAAATTGACGGTGATGAAAAATGAAAACACAGCGCGCAGTGGGGAAAAAGCCAAACTCACGTTCATGATCGGCGATTGACACGCGCGATTCGCCACTGCAATATGCACTTGTGAAAGGCCCGATGGGCGTGATCATACTCCCACTAGAGCCAGGTGTGGTTACGCTGTATAGACCGATGGGAAAGCTTGTTTTCAAAGCAACAAACATATCGAAGGTGGGGTAACAGCGGTCGATGAAAATTGTGGTTGCAGAGTTGGGTGGAAATGAAATGAGCAAACAAACCCGTTCTGAAGACCTCAAAGGAATCTTCCACGGATAAAGCTCCGCCCTCATTACCACAGAAAACGATACCTTAAAGGAATCTTCTACGGAAAGAGCGATCATTTTGTCTTGTGTGTAGGATTAGTATTATCGAAACTAACGCTTGTGTTCCGTTCTTTTTGCTATGCTCATGAGGCTAGAGGCAAAGGGGCATCGTTTTTCTTTGGTAATGGAGGCGGAGCTTTTTCCGCAGAAGGTTCCTTTGAACAAGGACTCCTCCACTCCCCTAAAAATGAGCGAGGTGTTCCGGACGAGTTGTCTGAATTTCGAATTCAGCCACGTGTGCCAATGCCACCTCAATTTCTGCAATTGCACAATTTCTGGTCATTTGAAGGCGAGGGCATATTGGGTGTCACGGGGTGTGCACGAGGTATCTCGTCCATGAGTTCACTCTATCTGTCATTGGCGTACTTTGCAAGGCCCTAGCGCCATTGTCGCGCACTTCCGAGGCGCGACATTGGCTCAACTGTGATAGTCGTGGACCACTCTACCCCACCCACAAAAGGGTTTATCGACAAGACCTCATTGGCATTGTAGCTTTGATGCACATCGAACTATACACTGTCGTTTCAGACTCTCTTTAGTAATCTGCGTACTTAAAAAGTGTTTGTTTCTAATCGTGGCTGCACATTTTTCGGAAAATTTGAGCATATCCCAGATGTGCCAGCTGGCTCCTTGCTTCGCAGAAATGAAAACAGTTGGTTCTGCTAATGAAGGTGAGTACCACATCAAAGTTATCTCAATTTTCTTCCTTCGGGGTCCACCTAGACGCGCTTTGAAGTGAATGAAAAATGAGTGTGCAAATTCTCCAAGCAAGATCAAAGAACCGATAAGTGAAATTGCAGAAAATGAAGTGGTTGAAACGGTAATCAAAAATTTAGTGGGCAAACCTCACCAGATAGTGTGAGTTACCAGCAAAGGCAGAAAACTGCTGAGGTGCACCGAACTGAGTCGTGGAAGTTTGGATAGCGGGTGAAGGTCCATTGATGCCTCCAGGTACTGGAACTCCTGCTTGTAGTGGTACACCGCCTCCACCACCGGAGACGAAAGCCATACAGCACGTCTGCAAAGGATAGATAATTTGGTCGAGTCATTCGAATGTGCTCGAACGACATAACGATATTCCGCTCTCACACAACTGCTACTCCAAGGATAGTGGCGACAGATTGACTGCTATGTCGCGAAAATCTTCACCAGCTCGATTTTACAACATTTTCAAAAGAAAGGAAAATTTCCAGGTCACTATTTCCGAGGATCAGAAGAAAAATTTGTGTTGGAACAGAGGTCGAAAGTCATGCTCATATTCGGATAGCCACAACTTTCTCGAAACCAAATCTCCACAAAACGGTGATGAACGGAAGTTTCTCGACAAGTACTTTATAAACGACACCAAACTTGATCTGCATACCAGGAAAAATGTGAGTATTTACATCTTGAGAAGCCATTAATGAGTTAGGGTAGAAGTTAGTTTCATAATGGTTGTTGGAAGCGCCGACAAATTCAGTATGTAGTCGGCCGAGTCGTAGAATTCAGCTCAAGTGGAATGATACGTTTTCCGGGTAGAGCAATCAATTTTCCAACGGCCATAACTTTTTTGTTAAGCCATTCTGAGCAAAAAGAAAAACACAAAGGTATTCCTTTTCTAGAAATTGTACTGAAAACTTACAATTCGAGAAAATGTACAGATGTTCATAGAGTTTACATGGGACAATGTATTCGTCTAGAATAGTGAATTCCATATGCCCTTCTACGTTACCGTAGCGAAGATTCCATGATGTTCTCAACTCACATTTCCTTTGCACGGAGCAGCAGAAAACGCAGAATTGGTCACGGTATGCGCCACGCGCTCGACATTCAGCGCTTGTCACGGATGCTGTCCCCCTTTAAGATGCTAACGCTCTTTCCCAGTGAACAAATGCGACATTCCCCACAGAGCACTCCGCGATGTGCGCTTAGCCCTACCCCTCCCTGGCTCACAAGTTCCTCGCCTCGCACGAATATCATCACAATCTCACTGAAAGAACGCAGACAAGCCGCGCGCGCGCCGTCGACTGCCTCTCTCAAACAACGTCACTCCCAGAATTATAAAAGCATTTGCTTTTAGTAAGCCGCACTAATCTGTGGGCAAGAGCCTACGTGGCAGCAGCCGTATTAAAACCAACTAGATACCTGAGCTGTGGAACAGTTCATCTAGAAGGCGGAGTAAAGTTACTGTTGCACCAATATTCGATGGAATATCGAGGATAACGTTCAAGGATCAGTTCCAGTTATGGATTTTATCCGCTGCAGATGCAAAACTCCAAATAATAACCTTTTTCTGTATGATCGTCTTTAACGTTCTCAGTCCTTTGGACGCTCCACAAACACTCTAGAAGCTTCACGACGACACTTCCCTATTTCGAGCCAGTACTTCTGAAATGCTGTTCCGAGATTCTCAATTTGAGCGATTGATAAAGCAGGTTCACCTACCCTCCCTTGAAAGAGAAGAGCGTCGGGTACAGACTATGACACCATCTGTGACGTCGACTCCCAGAAAATGTAAATGTTTTCTGCCATGAAAATTAATTACAACTATCATTTACCAACAGTCACATATCACCATGAATCACTACTGGCCAGATTTACTTGGAGGCCGTTGCCACTTGTGGTGTATGGTGTGCACCCGACGCTCTCCTCGTTTTTTTTTTGAAAGGTGATTTAGGTGGCCCATACAGCAGTTAATCTGAATAAAGTGAAAGAAACGCGCCGTATTTGATGGAGTTCCCTCAGCGCGCGAATTCGATCTCAGGTTCTGACGTTGTTTGAACCAAGTTTAAACATTCAAACGAATGTGGGAATGTGTTTTCGTGCCGCTATGATGACCTTTTTTGGTTGCAATTCGTATCGAAGAACACGGTTTACGGAGTACTTGATTTTTCCTCAATGGTCCTGCCGCGATGGCTAGCGCACAGGCGATTAGAGAACGGGTGAATGCCCTAGGACTAAGCCTTGGAGAGGAGTGGGACCCACGAGAGAACGCAGAGGCGGTTTAAAGGGCTGAGTTCAAGTAGTCCGTCGACAGGAAGAACACAGAACTATTTCGAGTTTCTAGCATTTGGTCTAGAGCATATAAAAGCAACATATCATGAACCAGTGAACGAGCAAAAAGCAATGAACTCTCTAGCAACTCAAGTAAGGATTAAGAAATCAAGACATGAAGGTGCATCAGCAATTTTGCCTCACCACACTACATCATTTTCACATGTGTCATTCTCCTTAAGACGACAAAGCTGGAGATAAGTCGCACCACGGCAAAGCAAAAGCGACAGCTTTCTTATTGTTAGAGCGCTTTAGCGTGATCAGGGTTGTCGTACCCCGTGAAGGGTTTTACTATCCTACCCGTTACTGATCCCACCTCAGCAACCCCTTTCTACCAGCTGGTCGAGAACGACCCTCCCCCACCCCCGAGTCACAACTTCCGCGACGAGTGCTTAATCCTCTAGGTTTGCTAAACAATCAATACTATTCTACTCGGACGAGACATCCTCTTCATGAACGGCTAAACATGGGCTATGAGGGACTACTACTTTGATGGGAAACCTCTGCGGTATCTCGCGCTAAGAAGCCAAGTGAGATTACACCACCCTTTCCGTTCACAGGAAGGCGGATTTCACTAATTGCTATGCATGTCTCCCAAAGCTCTTCCCATTGTGCATTTGTAATGCGCAATCGTTCACGT